TGCACCAGTGGAAGGAGCCAATCCTAGGATCAATTAAAAACTGTCAAAATATTAATTGTTTTCTTCTAATAGTTTTATTAAAAATTCCTAAACAAACAACCATCACAATAATTTCACTATTATTTAATGAAAATACTTTCTTGTATATTTTATTTATAAGTAACTAAAAAATTTATTTAAATATCACACATAACATAGAACAACATTATTATCTTATTGTCAAATACACACCATTTCACTATCTTAAACTGAACCATTCATGTATCAACGGATCCCAATATATTCTTAATTTCTTCCAAATTCTTAATTTTTTTAGTCAAAATCACATTAATCTTTTCATCTACATCATTACGTTTAACAGATTGAACTAAAATGTCTGAAATCAGATGTATTTCATCGGGATATAATTCAAGCACATAGCCTAGGAATGTTTTTATTATTGGCACACTCTCAGCTTTTATTTTGTTGTATCCTTCTGATTTTTTCTTAAACATTCCCTCTCTTATTTTAGACTTTTTGATTCTTTCTTCATACTTAGCTGATTCTCTTTTCAACAAGATTTTTTCATCTTCTTCATCCACCATTTAAGAGGATAAATACAATAATAAATTTTATGATAAAATACTAAGCACCAACATATGTAATATATTTAAACTATTCAATGTTTGACTGCATATCAATTATTTCAAAATGAACTTGAACAATGCACCGAAATATCAAAATTTATTGTTAAAGTCAAGTAACAATAGCACTTACTTAAATCTACATCAAGAATACTCACAAAACCAATTGTTATAAAACATAGAAGATTTAAACTAAAAACTTTGATAAAAATTTATCATTAGAAACAGAACCAACCGAGGCCGCACAGCCCCTTTTTCTTTTCATCATCAACGTCTTGCACAACTAATTCGCACTGATCATGTTGTGCTTTTAAAGATTCCTCTGCTTGTATCTCAGCATCCTGAATTTTTACACACATCAAATCTTCATTTCCATGAATTTTATCTTCCTTATTATAATTAGAGACACAACGCATATTGTTCTCTAAAACATCGACAACATCATCAGATTTCATGTTTTTAATGCCAACATTCTGGGCGTTCTCATTTTGGCATCCACAATAGTTATTAACTAAACACTCTTCAGTAGCACTAAAGTTACTTCCTTGACAGCAACTACAGTTATTAGTACACAAATTTTCCTTATGATTATTCCATACATCGGCATTTTCACTGCATTCATTACAATCACATTCAGTAGTGTAACACTCTTCACTGGAATAATTTTCATCGCAACAAGTTTCACCACAGATGTTTTGATCTTGGTCACAATTCTCTTTGTCACAACCATCTCCATCACAACAAGTTTCACCACAGCAGGTAATGTCATGCATACTTAAAATAGCTAAACATTGCATACGCCCTGCAGCTAATTTTTCTTCAGTTTCTCTCAATTCGTTCTCGCTCAAATTTTCTTGCTTAATTCTCATTTCCAACTCATTTTTTAACTTTGCAAAGGCACGAATTGCATCCATTTTTGTGAAACTAGATGGAAGATTCAGTATGTTTCTATTATCGTTTTTATCTTCATCTCTGAAACTCGACATGAGGGTTCTTTACTTTTTGTGATTAAGAAATAAAAATAGAGAAAAGAAAGTCAAAGAAAATATCACAGAATGACGTTTAAAGATTATTTACAGTATTGGTATAAAATATAACCAAAGAGTAACGAAAAAGTATATTTAAGTTTATATCTTTATCTTACTGTTAAAATTTAAACAATCAGTTTTCAAAATTCGAAAGGCCGTAGTTATTATGCATATAAACAACAAAAATTATCTTAGTAACCACCATCATATCCCATGAAGACAAAATACTTAACGAAAATACAAAAATTTACTCGAATTGTCTTCATTTGTCAAGATATAGTCCTTCAAATACATTTCCCTTGATAACAATTTTCTGTACTTCCTCTTTCTTATTGGCCCTTTCCATAACTTTCTCTTCCACGCTGTTCTGAGTAACTAACCTGTACACCGTGACATCTTTCGTCTGTCCTAGCCTGTGAACTCTATCCATAGCTTGCTGATCAACAGTTGGATTCCAATCACTATCATAAAAAATAACAGTATCTGCAGCAGTAAGATTGATACCAACCCCGCCAGCCCTAGTACTTAATATAAAAATAAATACATCTTCGTTGGATTGCCATTGCTCAACAAGCTCTTTACGTTGACTAATCTTGGATGATCCATCCAATCTTAAATAGTTATATTCTCGTTTTACTAAATATTCTTCAAATAAATCCATCATTTTTGTCATTTGAAAATATATTAGAACTCGATGACATTCTTCTTTTAATTTTTTTAACAGAATATCAATCATAAAAAGTTTTCCAGAATCTGAAATAAAAGTGTTCAAAGGTGGAACAAAGATCTGACGATCAATTCTACTTTCAGACACAAAAATAGGCTCTTTGTCAATGTTAGTTGATTCATGTTTATCCAATATTTTCTCATTAATAAATTTAAATCTTTTTAAGCTACTTTCAATCTGCTCTCTTCTCCTAACTATATCGTTTAATATAAACTCCCTATAATCCAACATATCATCTCTCTTTGAACAATATATTTTATAAAGATCAGAATACTGATCAACTGTCATGTCCTTTTGGATTAGCTTCTCTTGAAAATTAATACAAGAGTCAAGTTTATATTGAAAGATCCTATTGGTCAATCTTAGCATGTAGCTAGATCCATTGAAGATACTCATTAAATAGGAAGACGATGGAGGAGCATCGAAGCCACACAGCTTGTTCACGCCCAAACAGACAGGCTCGGCCAGTTTTTCAGAAATATACCTTTTAAAATGCGACCTATAACTTACGCTGCCATTTTCACCAATAGCACTAATACAAAAAGAAGCCGTGGGCTCAAGCTTCTCAAAAAGGTCAGGATGGTTGCATACTTTCTTTAACTGCATTATAATATTTTCGTAATCAAGCTTACTATTAATAATTTCATCATACAAAACTTTCTGACGAATACTCATTTCACAAGGAACTGTGATTATTTCCTTACCACCAATTTCATCTTTAATATCATTTTTATTTCTTCTCAACATAAATGGCTTTAAAATAGTGTGTAGCTTGTTTATCTGCTCCTCTTCAACTTTATCCTTATTTTCAATATCTTTACTAAACCATTCACTAAATTCAGAAAGAGAGTCAAAAAGAGTAGGCATTATAAAATGGAGAAGAGACCAAAGTTCCTGCATATTATTTTGAATGGGTGTGCCTGTAAGAAGCAGTCTACTACGAGATTTGAATCCAAGCAGAATCTTCCATCGCTGAGAATTTATACTTTTAATTGCCTGTGCTTCATCCAAAATCATATATTGCCATCTGATCTTTCCAATTATAGCCTCATCAGATACTGCAATTTGGTATGACGTGATCACAACATTGGATTTCTTAAGGAGCTTTCTCATATCTCTCCTTTCCTGAATATTACCCCAGTAATTTAAAACCTTAAGGACAGGTGCAAATCTTTCTAACTCTTTTGACCAGTTATGAAGGGTGCTTGAGGGTGTTACGATTAGAAAAGGACCGTGTATACCTTCACTCTCAAACAAATGACATAAAAGAGAGATGGACTGAATAGTCTTTCCCAATCCCATATCATCTGCTAGTATGCCGTTAATACCCTGATTATACAGATTTACCAGCCAATTCAGACCCTTAAGTTGATGATCCTTCAATCTAGCTTTTAGTATTTTAGGTTGTTGAACCGATTGATATTCATATTCTTCTATCTCTTCATTCCTATGCTTCACAGATCCAGGACTTTTATTTTGCTCATCAAATTCTCTCAAATGCGCCAGCTGTTCTTGTGCTGCCTTCATTGCCGCAGAATCATCCATCGCATCATCAATCTTTCTTTTCTTATTTAAAAAGAAACCAGCAAACGCTTCTGTCTGACTCATTAAATAATTGAACTTTCTTTTCTGTCTTAATTCCTCCTTTTCCTCTCTTCTCGCCTCCTCTTCTGCTCTTCCTCTTTTTCTTCTTTCTTCTGTTTGTTGATCTCTTCTCTTGTTAACTTCTTAATCGAACAGCTTAGTTCTTTATTAATTCTTTTACTTTTGAGTGTCGGGTTTGTCTTTGAGGTTCTAGATAAACTTCTTTTAACTTCTCTTGCACATATTATTGCTATTTTTTTATTTTGTGCTGTTATATTTTCATAGTTGGAGTAAAATTGTTTGAAGTTTCTTGGGATGCTTTTAAGAATGGTTGTGTATTGCTCTTCAAGACTGCACACCAGAACTGACTGATTCTGAACTTTTAGACTTCTGAGATACAAGAATATTCTAATCGTACTCTCAATTGAAGATAATTCAAGGGACATTGCTTCATATGTCTTCTTTGGTGTAGGAATAAATCCGTCATCCTTCTCAAACAGATCTTTGAGTCTTTGGTACTCAGCCTCTCTCATTGGGCAAGAAGAAGGCACTATTTTTAACACGGAGCTAAGATAGAACGTAGGTTATTTAATCCTAACGAATGACGAATGCACCAAACCTGTAAAACCTTGATAATAAAAAAAGATTGAAAGCCCAAGCATTATTGACATAAAAACAATAATTTTCCAAATAAAATCTATCCATATTACATAATTTTAAATCTAAAAATTTAATAGTTCTGATATTAAAACACAAGTGATAAATTTATTTACAAAATAATATTTAATTTAATGTATGCATGAATTTTGTCCAAATACTTAACAGTTCCTCATCTCTTTCACAAAGCGACATCATTTCTTTAGAATCTAAACCTTCAGGCGGCTTCTCCCTAACCTTCATTCTTACATTGTTGTGATCACACAGTCTTGTGTATATTTTTAATAATTGTTTCAAAAATATCAAATTTTTTGACAGCACTGATCTTTTAACCAATGGGTTCAAAACAACATCAATAGCTCTAAACCTATCAATTGTCTGCACAGCATAGTCCAATCCATTTCCGATTAGTACAAGACCAAGTGTTTCTAAAGCCAAAATCTGGCATTCTTCACTGCCAGAATCAACAATCTTAAGAATAAGAGGGAGTAACTCACTAATACGCATGCCTTCGTGTCTTTCATCTTTGAGAAGTGCTGAGAACAGTTTCAAGGTGGATATTTTAATGGATTCATCACCTGACGACATTAAAAAAGGATAAATGTAATAATCAAGTTGAAGTTTTAGGAAGAACTCTTCTATTTTTATTTTCTGAGCAATGTTTGTCAGTATATCAATACAAAGCTTTATTTTATGCATTTCTCCTTCGTCGAAAAGCTCGGTGTTTAGCGTGTAGAATGAATCAATAAAGTTTTGAAAAAGAACAAAAACCAGTTCGTCTGCTTTCCAAAAAAGTTCACAAGCTTTTGAGCTGGACTCCACAACAGAGAGAACCTTCTCAAGGGTTTTTAATGTATTTTCCTCTAGGAGTAAATCTTTTCTTAATTTTTCTACATTTTGTTCCATTGTGTCTTTCAATTTTCAGGGATAAAAACTAAGTAAGCAAAATACCATGCAACAGTACGTTAACAAAGCATTTTTATTATGCATTCATATTTGTGGAGAATTTAAGTTGATGTTGTTAATTAATTACCATAATTAAGACAGTTCAAAGCATAACAACAGTATCAAGCAAAAACTGGCAAAAGCCTATTAGCATAAATGATAGGTATTTATGACGTTTAAAGACGAATTCATAGCCAAAATTATAAAAATACCAACTTTGAAACAGAAATTGAAAAGTATAATTTAAAGTTTAAATCAAAACAAGCACTTGGCTTGTTTTGATTTAAACCCAACCATTTACATCTTCTTAACTTCAAGTATTCGATGTAAATCTGTTTCACAAATGAAACAGTAAATAAAATTTGTAAATAAGCATGAAAATAAAATGATCATCAAATCTATGGCATTCATACTTCTATCTTTAATATGTGCACAAGTTCTTCTCATCGACGATCTTAACTTAGGCAAGACGCCAGACGGCAGCAGATCTTTAGCAAATCTGTCAGGAAATCTTCAAAATCAATATGGAGAAAGTGTAAGTGTTGTAGAACCTACACAAAGACTAAAAGGCATGCCCATGAATTTTGTAAAATATAATAAAGTCAATCCACAGCGCATAAATTTAGTACAAAGAATCACACCACAAATGAAAGCGCCAAACATGGTATTTCCACGGAGGACGATGAAAATTAGAAGAAAACTCCCTGTAATTCAACCCAATAATTTACCATTAGCACAAAGTTTCCCGAGCATTCCTCAGAGTGGTAGATTTAACCCTTTACCAAAACCTACACCACCTTCAAAGCAAGTATCTCGGCCTGATACAGTTAGAAACTATGATATGGAAACTCCAAACAGCCAGCCATCCATACTTAGTCCAATCTACTTCCCCAATATAAGCACTTCTAGTAGAAACACAAATTTACCCGATGATGTTCCTAGTGATATTTTAAATGATCTGCCAAGAAGTAAGTCAATAACTAGGTCAAGGAAATCAAATAGCCCTATTTCAAGTAGAACTACACCTGATAAAGGATCTAAGCAACATTCGTCCACTAGTAGACCAACTAGAACAGCATCCATAGACTCTATACAGTTAGATATTCCAACAACAGAGTTGAGTACGCCTGAAATTGATAAGGATATTGACGAATCGATATTTGATAACGAACCTATTAGATCAGTTATTAAAGAGCCCGTTGAGCCGATGACTAAAACACCTACTAGGAGTATATCAACCAAGACCGTTACAAGGACAGTTAAAGAGCCTATTAAAGTAATCGAACCAGTGAGTGTAACAGTACCTGAGAAAAAGGCTAGTGTTGATAATGAAACTTCCCCTGATGAAGTTGAAAAGATTGCGATGGAGGTTTCAAAAATTGTTGTACCGCATGTAAAAGGCACAGGATATTTAAAGAAGCACAACTCAGATATTATCTCAGCAGATAAACATAGAAGAACCTACATTGATTACAAATTGTTGGAGTCTAAAGAAAGACAGGTTGATATTGAAAAGAAGCTAAAAGTATTACAGGAATTGCAGAATAAGCTCTTAGACAAGCTAACAAAGCTTAAGAATGAAAGAGATGGCGTTAAGTCTAGTATTGATTCAAACCAAATCACCTTAGAAAATAGTGAAAGAGCTATTAAAAATCTACAGGATGAAATCAATAAAAATTCAGGACAGATGAAATTAGAAGAAGTTGAAATAATAAAGCTTGAAAAGGCATTAAGTGAAGAGAAAAATCGATATTTACTTCTGTCTGATCAGCACAAAATATTTCAGTCCAGGCTTGATAGCTTTAGCAAAAAAGGAGATGTACAGCAGGATGGCATTAATCTTAGTAAAAGGAAATTATCAGAGTATGATAAATTAATAGAACAAATTGAAAAAGACTTTTCAAACCTTAAAGAAAGAGTCGAAGAAGTAGAAAGAAAAAGAAATGACGAAATTGAGGCACAAAACAGGCTGGAGATTGAAAAGAAAGAGATTGAAGATAGCAGCCATCTGCCACTATTCGCATTGTATGATTAACCAAAGCAATAAATTTAAAAGTTTGATTTAACTGTTGAGAACTGTTTGTTTTTAGAGTGCTTTCATTTACTGATTCTTCTTTAAGGACTGATACTCTTCAGTACATTGCACTCTTTCTAACGTAGTTTATCATAAATAACGGTTTTGTTAATATAATAACTGCCATTTTAATATAGCAGTATTGCATAACAATTTATGAATACATCCTTACAATGACTGCTGGTAGGAGTCAATTTTATGACTTTGATTCTTGATTAAGCTTAATTTTTATGCCAAATGTGCATAAAAACCATTTAAAATAACTAATTTAATGCTCTTATTATACCTTATAAATTTCTTTTTAGGTACTTTTTCTCCCAATTCAGATTGAGTAGATAATAGTAAAACCCATCAATCATTTTATATGTTTCAAGATAGACGTCTATGAGGAATTTAAATGATATGCAAAAGAAAAGCAGTCTGCTGTACGCAAGATGGTACACTGCTACAGTAAAATACGAGAAAATATATCCACCTATCATCAACAATCCTGGATTTGTCATCATTTTGTAAATTGATAGTAAAAACATAAGACAGGACAGATAATGGGACTTATCAAATTCACATATGCACATATTTGATTCTAAAGGCAATGTACCGCACGATTCTTCAATTATTTCTGCGATAGTTTCACCTGTTTTTCTGATTATTAAACTAACAAATAAATATACTGAACTGATGAGAAATATTGAAGAAAGAGATATAAGACACGAATAGACAACTCTTTCTCCGGGTATGTTGTATGTTCCATGACACTGCTCACACTTTCCCATGTCCCCAAATGCCTTTCCCCTCATTCTCCACAGTTTCAGACATGTAAAATGGACATATTTCACAGACCCATTGCATTTACAGGGTGCAATAAGATCTTTTTTCTTTGTAACCGGATTTATCTCAGAATAGCAGATTCTACACACTTCTTCTTCCAAACAATCACCCATGTAAAGGAGTTATACACGCTTTTTTGATAGACCCAACTCCTTTCCAACTGGCAAATTAGAATATTAAAAATTAGCCAATCAGAAATCTAACGATTATTTTGGTTAATCAAACAACAGTTGGATATAAAACAACCAATAACGACATGGAATGCGACTAACAATGAATCAAAAGCCTTCAAACACCAGTCTTAAGGTAAATAGCAGTTCCTAAATTTGTACTCAACCATCAATCCATAAATTAACCTTTTAAATGAATGAGCAGTAACAGCTTTTCAGAGTATGACAATTGATTTAATCGAAATAACCAGAAAGTTCTGGCTTTGCAACGTTTGGCAATTCAAAATCAATGTCTGTTCTTCGATAATCCCAAATAGTATTGATTTCCTTCTTTAAGGTAGTTTTAACTGGGTCAAAGTGTCGGTGCAATGACTCTGAAGCTGAAGATTCTCCAAACTCATTAAATACATCTAAAAGGTCTTCAGCTTGAATTCTCCATTTGTTAATGTCCAATGCAATAGTTCGGATTTTATTCATGACATACTCATTTTCAAATATACCGCCGGGCCTATCCTTCAAAAGTGCTTTTTTAGAACTTTTCAAAGAAGAATATGAAAATGTTGTCTGTGTCCCGGCCATGTTTTCATTTAATCTCTCTCTTACAACAGCTAATCTATCTTTATATTTGCCCAGAGACTCCAAAAGATTGTTGAGAACTATAAAGTCATTCTTTAAATAGGAAATTGAAGTAGATCGGATCAAACTAGCAACCTTCTCCTTCGCCATTTTCTTTTTGATATTGTCATACGTCATTCCCGACTCAAAATCAACCCGTTTATAAAGACTCAAAGCTTTTGAGATACATCGGCCCTTTAAATATAATTCTATTGCACTGCTGTAATCTTTGAAGTACTTTTCAACGATTTCAGCGACTTCTGAAAAACGGCTATTTTGAACTAGGAGATTGGCAAAATAGAAACAAACATCGTGTGTATGGTCTAATTCGAGTGCCTCCTTCCAAAATAGATGATCCTTGGCAATTCTAAGAGCGGTGGACACATTGCCCGATAGTTTATATAAATAAAATGAATCAAGTGGCTGTTTATGCTTTGCAACAAACTCATAAAAATTAAATTTAAACACATTGTAGAATGTGTACATAAGTAATTGATCAAATAGGTTGTGCTTGACAGCATAGTCACCAATTTGAGTGAACTCAGGGGAGTCAGCAGTGAGGGTTGGACATGCTTCAAGGGATTCTTCAACCAGATAGAACAATGCAAGTTTCCACTTTTCTAAATAGTCATACACAGAGAATTTAGCATTTTTTGATGAATTATGGAAGGACACAAAAGTGGAGTAGTCCCTCTGGCACAATTTATGAATATCAATTATTTTTTCAATATCAAAGGTAGCTAATGAGGATTTGCAAATAGTTTCTGGAGATAGCTTTGTAAGTAAAATTTTGACAGCCTTTGACAAATCAGACAGGTAAAAGCAAAGATCAATCCTGTTAAGAGCGATGAAAATATTAATAATTGTTGAAAAATGCTTTCTCGGATTTAGCCCCCTCAAAAGAGCATTTACATTTGAAAATGATGGCTCTAATGTAATAGCTTGTGTATGTTTTAAAGGCTCAAACAAAAACTCACAGTTTTTCAGATTTTCATATGAATTGATTCTGGTTGGAAAGTTTTTGAACCCTTCAAAAAATGGCAAAATAATATCCACATCGATGCATGAGTTGTTGTATTCAGTGCAAGTCATGTTTTTGAGAATAGAATCATAGTCAAAGTTCAAATCCAGTCTCTCCAAATATTCACAGCTTAGCAAACATGTCGATTCAGGGATTGCCATACATTCAAACATTGATAGAGCTTGGGAGTCATCAAAAAACCGAATGTTTTCAGATGGAAACTCTCCACTCTCAAAAAACACGGAATATTTGATATGGTTTTTGTCGCATTTTCTTGCAGCCTCTTCAATTTTGTTTTCAGAAATAAGTTTTCTAACAACGTCCAAGCTGAAAAGCTTGCATGAAATAGTTTCTAAGGTACCAAAGCGAGTGTAAAGTATTATATTTTCCCCCCTTACAGTTAGAAGTTCTAAGTCATCCTCTGCATAGCTAGAAAATGTAGCACCATCTATTAAGTTGACAATATTAAGAGCATCCTTGATAATGCACAAGACATACTGCTTGTGTATAAGGAATGAAGAAACATCTGTCATGTAAGTAAATGGGCTTAAATTTTCATCCAAGCTCATATTTGAAAGTCTCTGTTCCAACCTATTAAAGGTGTTATTAGCAATTCCACTATACTGTAAGACACCATTAGATAAAAAGTAGATTCTAGTATAGTCACTGTTGAATTGAATGTCAAAGTTTGACGTGAGTTTGAAATCAAAAGTGATAGAAAATGAATTCATGCAAAACTGTCCACTCATACAAAATACTGCAAGGCTACCCTTTACATCGCAGAGTTTCAGAATTTGACTTGGAGAAATATCCTTGATATTCTGCAAGTCATAGACACAGTTTTCCAGTCTATTATTCAAATAGACCACGGTTTCGTTAGTTCTAATAATTAGAGAACCATCGATCTCTACAACGTCAGCGTATAAGGGCTGTCCAATATTCAGCTCAGCGAACGACCGATTGCCTGTCTTTGTAATATTGTCATTTTTATCTATTAAAAAGGAGTGGATTTCCAAACTTGTAACAATGACTAAACTGCCTTTATTAAAAGAAAAACAGTGAATTTGATCGTTAACAGCAATTTTCTTGTAATAAAATGGAGGTGGAATAATTGCTCTTTGAAAATTGGAATAATATAGCTCATTTCCATTGATTACAAGCCCATCGGATAGTTCCCTATAGACATAATACCTGCACAGATATCCATTCTCCTTCATTATGATTGAATTGTCTTCAATCCCATAGAATTTGCCTTTTAATGTAAATTTTTTGTACCAGAAAAAATTCTTCATGTAATATCCAGAAACACCAGACTCATTAGCTATTAACAATACGCCACCACCGACTTTTAGAATACACAAAGAGTCTCCAAAAGCATCTAACGAATCTCCATGCTCCAGTCCATTAGGCTCAAAAAACCTAATTTTCTTTGAAGAAAAATGCAAGCATGCAAACTTATTATATTTTTTTATGAAAACAGCATCAACAATACTTTCATCAATTATACCAAGGGTTTTCAAATCAAAATCAAAAATCAAGGAAAACGAGGGGAAAATAACAGCAAACACCCAGTCTCCAAACCTAATCTTAAACGTAGAATTGGAAGGCACAGAAATATCAGAATCATAAATGGTATTTGACTGGTTCTCTGATTTCCTTACAATGACAGATTCTAACTCGACACTGTTCTCCAAATTGAAGTATGCATTGAATAGCAGAATCTCCTTGTCTGTTAGAATCACAATTTTGTCATAGGCACACTCAATAGCCAGTATTTTATCCGTTATCATCCCGATATTTTCAATTTCCTTCTTGTGTTTGTTAATTCTGTACAGTGTCTGATCTTTTGAAATTAGAAAATAGTCAAAGCTTAAGTTTCTCATAAAGATCGGTGTGAATGGCAGTTCAATGCGTGTATTTTCAGTCTTTAAAGACCTATTTTCAATGAATGCTGAGTTGTCGTAGATGGATTTGTCGCTCACATTCAGTTGAGATTTTCCTTTTATAAAGAAATTTTCCATGAGGACACAAGTAAAGAAGTAAATTTACAAATAAAACCAACAGCCACTACAACACAGCTTATTGAGCAGCAATGCCAAGTACTATTTAACACTTGAATTCTAACCAAAATTAAGCAAAGTATATTAGATGCAGTGAGTTTATTGTAGTATACGGGCTTTCAACAATCCAATATGCAAAACGCAGTTTAATTACCGGTATAATCACAAAGAACAAGCCTTCACAAGACTGTGAGCCATGCCTAAGCAGTCTAAACTCTTAGGTACATCAGCACAATCATGTTCTTTTGGTGCTGAAATTCCGAATAGATTTAATGAATGGGCAAAGCTACTCAAGCATATGTAAAAATACTAAAGCTATAAAAACATGAAAGCACAGAGATTAAAATAAAATATTTGCCATCTCGGCACGCGCACTAAGAAAGTACACGCTTCCATCAAGCAATGCTATGCTCCAAATGGCAGAACCAGACATAAGTCCCTTTCCGTGGCTTCAGAGCGCTTTTTGATTGGGGGTAAAAATTTTCCCAAATAAAAGGACTTGGAACAATTCAGCTACCACTCTAAATTAATAACAGGCTAAGGTCACACTTTATTTCATTGCTGAACACCTTGGACATGTCCATGTAGTCCTTGGGCTGATTATCAAATTAACACATCTGAAATGATACCATTTGATTGCACATGCAGGATTATCACAGCAAATCATATTTCCAAATGCTTTGTCATTGCAAATGCAATATTTGCCATTTCCCTGCGGGATGCTACTTAATTTAATAACAGGCTGAATATTACCTGAAAGGGGAGAAAAGTTAAAATTCATCATGTCAATATTTGAAATCTTTACCAGCTCTTCTAATTTTTGTTGCTGTTTTTCTACTGCATTTTGAAAATTATTTGTTAGTTCTATTTTTTTCTTCACAATTTTTCTGAGCTTTCTCTCTACTTTCAAAAGCTTGGGGTCCTGTGGAGAAATGAGTCTTTGAATCATTTTATCAAATAGAATCGAGTATTTGAACTGGTCTTTATTGAGTCTTTTAATATGTCTCTCAAAATTGCTACATTCCAGGGGAAACTGCTGGATAGACTCCAGCATACTATCGAAGACATCCATTGGTGTCATGTATTTACTTGAGGATAAGAAAATCCAGTTAAAGTAGCAAGAAGGAATGCTAGAAAAACGCCATCAGTTGATAATTTGGTGAGAGCAAGACGTTCTCATGCACATGTGGACTAGGCTCAGTGTTTTTAGTATATCTATACAAGGGTTTTATGAAAATATACTATATTTGTGTATATACATAATGGTCCGTTCCATTCGTGTGCAATGCTAGAAAACTTACGTTCTACAAGAAGATTCTATTCTTTAATGATCATTCTTCTTCTGACAGGAGCATTTATGATTGTGCACTTGGGATTCTTTGTCAACATTCCATACATACCTACAACTCTGTGCTTTAGGATTCCCGCTATTTTCTTTTTGACCATAGCGTATTTGTTTTTGATGTTTACCTTGAAAAGTATAAAAGTAAGCAGGGAATTAGAGTATAACAAAAGCTACTAGCAATACAAAGAACTAGCCCATCTAAAGACAGTAACGTGCAATTAAATAAATTAATATGTGTTTGCTACAGTACGACAATGATTTAACAGATGCTGTGGGGACAGAACACCGCTCAAGTAGAGTCTGCCAATTTTAAACCTTTTATTCATATTGTGCAATAATTTAAAAGCCAGTGTCAGGTGTGTGACAGTTTAGCACACCCACAATTAGGTAAAATGCTTGAGACAAATCCAATCCCACAAGTTTTAACATCCTTTTCATATTATCAAAATAAAAGTGTAGCGATAAGTATTGAACACAGCAATCTGCCTTGTTTTAGGCACTCAACATTGTTACAATTCCATTAAAATTTTGATACCAAAGAAATTGAAAGGTGTCATTTTAAGCATGCATATTAGATCATAAGAGATTGTACATCATATCCAGATTAAACAAGACATTTCTGGACATCCAAAACACTATAAAATCTAAAAAGTATATTCAGATGGGTGAAGCATAGAGCACTTCTCCTTTAAGATGTACCAGCATATTTGTATTTTAGTGAATAACCGTGCTATTTTTTGTATGCTCACATAAGAAGAAGTCTGCCACAAACTGCAGCTTTAAGTCGTCTGTACAACGTCAAAACACTGGAATGGATTCTATGGTCTTATCCTGTACGTAAGCAATATCGTAGAAAAGAGATCCTCCATGCTTCATAGCAGTATTTTAATGATAATTACGATAGTCAGCCAAGCTTGGCCTTTTAATATATTCTTTCCTCTGAAAGAACTTTACTAGTCTTGATAGTTTTGAAAAGCGTGCAATATTGTCTACAACTCAGCTTTATTAAAAGTAGGTGCAATTCTTATTGGTTTTGTTGAATGTGGCTTTTAATATTTATGTGCTATTCTAAATAATCTTTACTAGGCTTGCCCCAATGGAGTCTTACTGCGAAAAATTCTACAGAATCAAACAAGAAATTTTAGATGCTGAAATCAGAATACTTGAAAATGACTTAAAAAATTGGAGCAGCAAAGAAACTCTCTCAATCAGCAGGTAAGGAGCATAAGAGATGAAATCTCAATTGTTCAGGAAGCATCCTCTAGTGTTGGCACCGTCGTAAATAAGATGGGGAAGAAAAAGTGTTTGGTAAAAACGCAGCCAGATGGTAAATACACTGTAAACGTGGAAGATGGAGTTGATTACGACAGTCTTAAGCCGGGAACAAGAGTAGCACTTAGATCTGACACGTACGATATTCATCGAATATTACCTACCTCGGTAGATCCAATTGTATCATTAATGATGGTGGAAAAAGTGCCAGACAGCACATACTCGATGATTGGTGGCTTGGATGAGCAAATTAAGGAAATTCGAGAAGTAATTGAGATGCCAATCAAGCATCCAGAATTATTTGAGAACCTTGGAATCGCACAGCCTAAGGGTGTGTTGCTATATGGACCACCTGGAACGGGCAAAACGCTCCTTGCTAGAGCAGTAGCACATCACACACAATGTAAGTTTATTAGAGTTTCAGGTTCTGAACTAGTTCAAAAATATATTGGCGAGGGTTCACGGCTAGTGAGGGAACTTTTTGTAATGGCAAGAGAACATGCACCTTCGATAATCTTTATGGATGAAATAGATTCGATTGGATCTGCACGTACGGATGGCAAGAGTGGTGACAGTGAAGTTCAAAGAACAATGCTTGAGCTTTTAAACCAACTTGATGGGTTTGAGGCATGCAATAAAATTAAGGTTATAATGGCAACCAACAGGATCGATATACTTGATCCAGCTCTTCTAAGACCCGGACGAATAGATCGTAAGATTGAGTTTCCAGCGCCTAAGTCGAGTGCACGGCTTGAAATATTAAAGATTCATTCTAGAAAGATGAATCTAACGAAAGGAATAAATCTGGAAATGATTTCCGAGAAGCTAGTTGGATGCAGCGGTGCAGAAGTCAAGGCTGTATGCACTGAGGCAGGAATGTTTGCATTGAGAGAGAGACGAGTGCACGTAACACAGGAAGATTTTGAGATGGCTGTTTCTAAAATAATGAAGAGGGATGGTGCCAGTGAAGATTCTCTTAGAAAGATATTAAAGTAAACAGAAATGTTATTTCCAATAATGCGTTGCTATTTATTTTTTCTGGATATTTTCATATTAACAAGGTAACGCTCTTAGCCGGCAGGCATGCAATATTTGCAAGTAGTTCTATTTGCACCATAGTAAAAACCGTTGTGTATTTTTATACTCAAGTGCTCAATATCGTTAACGTGTTGGATTGACAAAGCCCTATTGCACTGTTTTAACCATGTGTTTGGCTAAACAGCCGAACTTCACTTCAAATACTCTGGTAATATTTTTAACCCTGAATGCTCACTCAAAATTTGATTCTCAACTGGACTACGAGAATGAATTTTCCATTGAAGGTACGCAGTACATCACTTCAATTAAACTGCAGACTGCAGGAGTATTTCAAGAACAACGAGTTTGTAAATGCACTCTCACTGTTTGATGCCTGCTGCTTTAAATCCCAAACGTGCATATTTTTGGCCTGCAAGTTTGAAGACATACACGGATATTTGAACAGAATAATACACAAAGTAGGGGAATTTTCAAACAGATTCTATTTAGATAGGATTTTAGAGTTTGAAGCAGAAATTCTCGAGTTTCTCAAGTTTGATTTTAACTGTGTAAATTTGTATCAAAGTGCACTGGCCGTTAAGTTTTTAGTTGAAAAGCAGAATCCAAACACAGGCATTCAATGGGAGTACATTCTTTTAAGATTAAACAAGATATTCTGCATTGTGGATTTGACCCAGTACTTAATGGAGGCTGTTCTGGCTGCATTCGAACAGGACTCAATCATTTGTCTGGGTTTAAAGTACAATAAAAAGATCATGGCAGAAATCAAAGCTAAATCAAAGAACGTGGATTTTATTTTAGACCAAGAAATTCAAGAACGATGCGAAAAGGCGGTTCAGAATTAATAGTATGTTCTGGGTCATCCCTTCAAGTTTACAGTTGAGAACCCCAATAAATTTTGCCTGACAGGAACTTTATTTGTGAACAATTGTCAACTACCTTAACTGTTTTTAGCTTGCATGTGTTGTGTGTTCTTGAATTTCCACCATGCTGTTTTTAAGAATCAGCACAGACTCACTTTCATCGAGAATTGCGCCTGCTAGAGTAACAATGCATATTTTTAATTTAAAATGTGCGAAAAAGAATGTGGTTATGTCCACAATTCTAAGAACGGGATCAACAAGCACAATGGATTCTCTGTTTCTAAAAATAGCCTTGAATTTTACACTTGAATTTTCACCTATCATTATTTTCTCAGGCACATCGCTCACGTCATCGGTATTGGCGGGGCTGGACTGTGCCAACTGGCCACAGTACAGATTATAACCTGTCATTCTGTCAACTTTCCCATTCTTAACCTTTCTTTTTTTATTAATTTCACATTCGGTAGACTTTTCAATGTTTCTTTTTAGATCTGTCATGTCCATTGAGCCAGTATAATCCTCATTTCTTCTTTCGATGATTAAGTCGGCATACTTCCCTGCATTTCCAAAGGCTAGTTCAAAAATGTCCCTGTCAAATTCATTTTGTTCAAGCATCTTCAACAAACATCTGTTTTTTGGATTTTCAAAGTCGTAAAATACATTCTTTACAAGCATTCCATTCAAGAATACAACAATTTTAGGCACCACATTTTCTGAAGACTGTGTTGGCTCTGTTTCCAAACTGTGCACTAATCTTTCTTTACTAAACCCACACTTATAATACAGATCGTAGAGTTTTTCATATGAAATTCCGCTAGTTTTCGAAATGTTTTTCAGCCATTCCGTGTCGGCACATGGCACAGCTGGTTTAACCATGGTGGGGAATATTCGAAAAATAAGCTAAAAGATATACAAATAAACGGTATACTCAACCGTAGCTTATTGCAAGACAGTAGGCACATGGCTTTTTGTATTGTAACGAATTCTAAACTAAAAAAGTCCACACAAGGTCCATTTAAGATTTCTACACAAAGTATTGGTAAGATCAGTCAAGCACATGTCTTTCAACGATCTTATTCAAGTGCATATCAAATAGCTATAAAATTCACATGGAAAGACCGCATGGCGCAGTGGTAGCGCTTCTGATTCCAGTCCAGAAGGTCGTCCGTTCGAATCGGGCTGCGGTCATTGGTTTTGCTTTTTTGAAGTGTATAAAAAGACAAACCGCCTATAGTAAAACTTCAATACAAGTCAATCATTTAATATTAAAATCATTGTCGGAGCTCTTAAGCAAGGCGATATGAAGACCTAGCAACACTTGATTAAAGCACATTAATATTCATGGACAATACTTGACATTCTGACCTACAACTTCCACTACTTCTTTCTCTTGAAGCCTTGCAAGAGCCTTTCTAAGATCGTCTTCTGTGACATCATCAATATTTGATAATAAATCAGTCAAACTGCTGCTTTTGTGTCTTTTCAAGAGTCTTGCAATCCTTGCTTCATTGTATGCCTGGTGATTGTATGAAGCATCGTCGTTTTCTATCGAGATTGGCGACTGGAACTCAGGTTCAAATCCAGTATAGTTTAATTTCGTAAAAAATGGATTTAAAATGTATAGATCATTTTGCATAACAATAAGATCATCAAGAAGATAGTCAATCTGTGGCTTGTATGTCTTGGAAACAAAAAAATCACCTTCTTTTAAGTAATATGTACAGAATTTGGGCTTCATATTAAAAATTTGATCATACACTGCACTGTCTATTTTAGATCCATTTTCAATCAACTTCAATATGATAGAATATTGAAAAAGCGATAGCGTTATGACTTTATCGAATATAGAGATTGAAACTGTGGACAGTGTGTCAACCCAACTTACTGTTTTTCTATCAGCTTTCAACATATCAAAAACATCGGATTTATACTTTGAAATTGGGCAGTCTGGGGAAATGTTAACATCCTCAATTTTAAACATAGGCCATTTACACATAGTCATGAGTAGAAAGCTGTGGGCATTTGCACTTTTCTGATTTATGAACGCTTGCACATCGCCTATCATCTTTGTCATGTTTTCTGAGTGCATTTTTTTGAATTTCCTTAAAAACACCAGCTCTCTCTCAATAAAAGCCTGTGCGATGTTTGTTGGTGATGTGCTGTTTATAATTCCACGTCTATAACCTAGCAATCTAATTGCAAGCCTTTTCTGTAGTTCAGCCAAAAAAGTTTCTGGGTTTCCGGATTTTCCTGTAATATCAATGATCAAATCAGAAACCTTGTCATTTACTACATTAGAAATATTGCTTTTCATAACGTCATCAACATAGTCAGCAATCTCTGCACAATTGGGAAGTGATTCCAGAATGTGTACAAAGTATGTCAAATAGCAATCTTCAAAGCTTTTATCGTTAAAATTTTCTAAAATGTCCTCGATTAACTTAAACAGGTCAACTAGGCTAGTAAATAATTTGGCGCTTAATCTCTGGGGTAAGAGTAGGGAAAAGGCATTCATAAGCTTACTCTTTAATCCTGCTTTTTGAAATATTGAGTATATTGAACGGCATCTGTCCAGACATTTTAAGTTTTTAGCTATTAAGGCATCGCTCATATCAGAATATAAAGTATAAAGCACACCTTTTTCAATTCTTTTTGCAAATTTTACAGAGAACACACATTTTTGGGATTCAAAATAGTTTGAAACCATATTAAAATCGTTTCTATTACTGGAAAGAAGAGAAATATCCTGCTCAATCAATAATGGCTTTGAACTCTTCAAAATATTCTTTTTGATTCCAAATTTCTTTAAAATATTAAATAAATATTTTAGATCATCTAAAAAAGGCTCTATCAAAGGCACATCAGAGACTCTTTTACAGATCAGTAGACAGTATTTGAACAGTAGCTTTACAGCTTCTAAGTTTCTTTTCAACACCTTAAATAGCATTTTCTTAAAAATATACTCAAAATAATCAATTTTCTGATCCAGAAAATATACTTTGTCTGTCAAAGGCAAAAGACAGTTGGAGAGAAGCTTCATTTCTTTTATATTAGATTCTATGATGTTTCTGAAGGCCTTAACACTCTTTATGCTTAAAAGACAGGTGCCATGAAGACAAACAGCATCATCAACTAAATTAACGGCAGGGTTCTCGGATGATTGATAGACCTGTGAAATCATATTAACAAAATCCGATGTGCTATCAATGTTGAAGGTAAGGTTTTTGTACACATCAAGCCTTTTCTGGATTATGTCCAGCTCTTCCTCAAATTTTTTGGACAATATCACTTTGAACTGGGAAATGGACTCCTTCTTGTGGGATATGCAGTTGATACTCAATGACAATATGTCCATGGGCCTGTACCTGCTCTCTTGTCTGTTGTCTAGGAATTCAGAAACAGCATTTACTAAATTTTTAACTGCTAGATTCTCCATTTTTGGGTGAAGAAACAAGTTGATTCAAAATAGCACTTCAGTCAGTAAAGAGCTTATTGTATGGATTAATATTTCATAAAACACATTTTATTTCCATAGATGTATATTAATCGTTGAAAATCCGTTGGGCTCTTAGTTAACAAGTGTATTCAAAGGCAAAACGTACTGGCTTAGCAACAGGGCCTTTTCATGAGTTAAAGACGTGTAAGTGATTTCACAAATGGCTGTAGTTATAGAAATGCTGGCACAGTATCCTTCTAGAACTAATGAGCACAGAGTATGAGTATTTGGAAAACGAGCAATTGAAAGAAGCACTAAAACGATACGAAGACAAAAGAGAAGAAGTCTATAAAGAGCTAGAAATAGCTTTTGTTCAACAAAAAGTTAGAAGCAAGATTTTAAAGAAAGAAACACCAGGCGTTGAGATTCTTTTTTTCGATAGCTCAAATGCTCTTGGAGAGGAAAATTTTGAGAACTTGATTTCGGAAAGTGCAGAGAACGAAAGTATAGAAAATGCAAGTCTATCAAACAACGAAGACCCACTTGACGACAAGGTCATAAGCATTGCATCTGAATTGTCTGAAATATATGAAGATAAGTACCAGAAAGAACAGCAGCCTGCCAGGACAAGGCTTTGCGATTACCTGGATCTTGAAGCTGAATACTCGGGTGATGAAAATGAAGAGGAGTCAAAAGACCAGGACTTGAGTGAGATAATTGACAATACCGTTGACAACAAAATTAAGCTTGATCACTTTTTGAATGAGCAACGAGAAAACGATGAAAAAGTATTAAGGAAATTAAAAGAAAAATTCGTAAGGAAGGACAGGGCCAAAGTATCACATGAGTTTGAGCTACTGGAATTTGAATCAAACGATGAATTTCCCGAGATTGAGGAGTTTAAGTTTGACCAAAACGAAGTGGTAGACGACCCCTCTAACATTGAAGATGTCTCGCTGTTTACATCAGCTAATTTGAACAGGAAGGTTAAAATTGATCCAAGCAATGTTTTTAATAATGCCGATGCAGTCATTCAAAAGCTCACCAGAAAGGAGGAGACTAAAAACACAGGCTTTATAGAGAAAAGCCATTCAAAAATGCAATAAAGGTTTAAATTAAAGACTATCCACACCAAGCCCAACATTTTTATATTACAACTACTCCAAAGTGTATGGGAACAACATAAATATTTAGTGCAGAAGAGATTGGCACGTATGCTTAATTGGTAACAGCCTATTCATAACATTTAGTTTAAATAAATAAAGCAGACTTCACAAAATGCAGAAGATTTCGGAAACAACATGCCATTTACCTCTACTTTAACACTAGTCAACTTACTATTATGTCTTGCCAGTTCTGATCATAGTTTTATATTGATTTCCTTTCAACTACCCCTTGGTTATAAACTGCAGCTGACTTCTATTTGTATTGCTACTGGTCTTTTCTATATTTGATTTTGATAGCTTTGAAACCCATGCCACATTCTAACAGAGAAACCTCAATCAATGAAGTAAACTGGGCGGGCTCGCAGAAAACTCAGAAATTTAGAATCACAGACACTTCGCAACACAAGAATGAGGCAATATCCTTTTGGAATGATGCACCACTCTTTCACAGCTCAGCCAACCAGCAATATACCAAGGAACCTCAAAACAAATTCACAATAGAAAAAATTGAATTGGACAGCCAGGGAAGAAAAATTTTATATGGCCCAAGTCAAATAGCCATTGTTTCTGGCATTTTTGCTGAGTCTAAATTTCAGATTGGGCAGAAAGTGACTGTCGCACCTTGTCTGTGTTGCACAGGAGCTGAGGAGAATGCAGAGTCATTTAGCTGCGACGACTTCATACTTGATTCTTCAGATCAAATTGATGGAAATTTTACTTTAGATAAAACGGTATTTTATGTAAATAGCACAAGGAACACAATATTAATCGAAGACGATCTTCTGACAGTAACGTCACTTTGTGCAGCATTGAAGTGTATCAACATTCCCCTTCTCCAAACTTTGGTTTCTGATTTGTCATTTGAATTTGCTCATCCTAGCCTTGTGCTTGGAATATTAATTCACAAGCTAATTCAAATGGCTCTGATTGAGAAGAAGGCCACTTTGACATTTCTTGTAAGCACAGCAAAATCTATCATCATGGACAATCTTATATTGTTGTATTCTTGCAATATTTCTGATAAAGAAGCCTTGAATGAAATTCTCAAGAATATTAAAAACATCATCAGGTTTCTGGATAGAAATTTCCAGGTTGAAAAAGTTGAGCACAAAGTTTTTTCAACTGTCTATGGACTGAAGGGAAGCATTGACTGTTTGGATTCTAACTTTGTCATTGAAATTAAAACAGGGAAGTTTCTGAGTTTAGAACACCGCTCACAAGCCATACTATATTCATTATTAATGATGGAGACTGATATGAAGAATAGGCGCAGTGCCCATGACCACCAGAACAGTATGAGTGATGCAAAGTTGAGGACCAACACCTACACACCACTGCTGTACTATGTAAAATCAGGCGATTTTGTTGATATTGATTTACAACACGAAGAAATTGTACATTTATTAAAACTTAGGAACGATATAGCAACTAATAAATGCCTATCAAATTGTGACTGCCCAGAAACATATCCATGTGCAATTTTAAACAAAATAAAATTGCTTCCATCTTCGCATTTTCTCAGGAAGCAATTAGAGGCAATAGAACTAGAAGCCTGTAGAGAAAAGTCATTTTTTAAGGCCAATAAAACATCACAGAACCAAGAGAGGCTGTGCTTGAAAGTGTCGGAAAGGTTGCTTTTGAACGAATTTGTATATCTTTACACTGTGAATCACAACTTTATAACTTTGGGCTTGGTTGAGGCTTATGAAAACGATCATATCGTCATAATTCTGAGAGAAAACATTAATTTAGAAAAGAATATGCTAGTTTGCCTTGATGACGATACCAATTTTCTTACATTTATGCGCTGGTCACTGGTTCAAATAGCCTTTCCCAAGTTTTTGAGAAAAGATTGCAAAGGCCAGGGTATTGATTCATTTTTGCTACCTGGACAGGAGCATGGACTTGAAGTAAAGTGCGAGATGAGCATTAAATCACATGCAGATTCATGCTCGATAGATTCTGATGCGATGGCCACGTCCTCCGATAATGTCGAGCTTACCAGTTTAGATCTAGAAAGTGATTTTAGCTCTACCAACTGTTGTGAATATAATACCAAAAAGCCACATGTAAGTATTAAATCGCTAGACCAGCCAACTCAGACTATAAAAGAAAGTATAGTTAGCACATGCACAGTGCATCAGAAGAGGTGCTCGCAAAGCATTTCTAATTCCTTGAAAACAAAGTTTTTGGAAGATGTATTCTCCAGCGAAATTGAAAATATTAGACAGGATTCTGATTTGTATAATGAGTTTGTATTCAAAACGCCGTATAACAATCAAAGTATAGAACATGGAATAGATATTAATGCAGATGACAATGTTCTTGAAAATGCACCATCAGTTCCAAATGCTAAAAGGAACAAGGAGGCTAGGGATAGCAGCAAGGATGATGGAGTGTATAAGAACGACTCGTGTAGTAATTTGATTAGCTCGGAAGTTAAAGCATCGCAAAGCACATCCAGCAGCTTGCATGAAAAACCAAAAGTTCTTTTCAACGAGACGTCCCCGCCCTTTGATTGCTCCCAATACTTTAATACACAGAATCAGGGCAGATTCAGCAAAAGCAGCCAATATCCCATTCCCGAGGGATTTAAAGATGAGTTTTTAAAATTAAATGACGAGCAAAGACAGGCATTGTTTTTGTCTCTGAATTGTGAAAACTATAAAATAATACATGGAATGCCAGGCACTGGAAAGAGCACTGTGATATCTCTTTTGATTAGAATTTTAATTTCATACGGAAAGAAAGTACTACTTGTCTGTTATACTCACCTTGCAATTCACAACATTTTGAAAAAGGTCGGAAAAGTCAAATGCTATCGTGCAAAAAAAGAAGACTTGAAATTCAAGAGCTATGCTGAATTAGCACAACATTTTAAAGATATAGATTTGGTGGCAGGAACCTGTTACTCATTTGGTGATCCAGTGTATTTAAATAGAAAATTTGACTATTGTGTGATTGATGAAGGATCACAAATGCATCTGCTCCTGTCTCTCATTCCAATATCGATTGCGGACAGGTTCTGTATTGTTGGCGATCATCTCCAGCTTAAGCCCCTATGCAAAAAAAGCCGTGATCTAAATTTGAGCCTTTTTGAGTTTTTGATAGATCATTGCTCGACATTAACACGCCAATATAGAATGGGGGATTTGATAATGAAGCTTAGCAACACGCTGTTTTACGACAATAGATTAATTGGCTTTGGTGGGCTTAGCACTGTTGTGTTTCTTGATTCAGACAGGGTCGATGTGCTCAAAACTGTTAAAGAAGTCAAGAACTGTGCTATTTTATGTTATTTCAACTCGAAGGTGCGGGAGATTTCCAATATTAACAAAGACGTTATTGTTACAACAATTGATAGGTTTCAAGGGAGCGAAAGTGATGAGATCATTGTTATTTTTGATCCTGTTGAAAAATGTGAAATCATAGAAAGCAGAGAAAGGCTTAATGTAGCACTTACGCGGGCAAGAACAAAGCTAACGTTGGTGGGGAGCAAGAGAGACATGCTAGAAATTCCCCTATTCAGGCAATTAATCGATATGGTTGTATAAATAATACAGGATGATCAATAAGCGATTTAAGAGTGTTTAGATAAATATTTAGCCAATTTTGTTTAGACTGCAATAATGAGCACTAAGAATATTGCTTCAGCTGTAAAATTCAAAAATGCAGTCAACGGTCGGGGTGCTTTGGTTATAACAGAATGGGCAGTCTAGTCATTACTGATGGAATAGTAAATAAGTCTTCTTGTCTTAGCTTCTGGACAATAACTAATCCGAGTCATCAGTTTTAAAGGGTTCATGCTCCGATTCGATAAGGATTCAGAATATGTTCAAAATTACAGACGAGTCCTTTAAGAGGCATGCAATAACAAGCTTAATTAACCATCTTAGTCTTATATTTTGAACTCAGTTTAGCTATGTGCTTATAACAACCAGTGGATTCGAGAAGATATTTTATTGGCAGAAATGAGATTGTTGCTACGAGAGAATGGATGATCCTTCACATCATAGAGCTGTTATAAGCGTGGAAATGTGCTAGGGGGATGAATCCTGTCAAAAGTAGTCATGCTGACTATTAAGCTTAAACATTTCTATTTTCTGTGAATTTTGTAAAATTTTTCACTGGTCAATATCTATCAAAAGTAAAAAAGTCCTAAGATTTGGATGGACAGTCCTGCCAATTAAGCTTATCAGTACTTTCTTTGTTGGCAAATACCATTATTTAGGCTATATAATTTTGTAGATGTCCCATTCTGTTTGCCAGAATTGTGTACTTGTTCATGAGAGTTATTCAACAGCAGTTCCGTGATTTTGAAGTAAGAGGTGCCAGTCAAGTGCCTGGAGCAATTTTATTTCCTCCCTAAAATATTTGTTTTTAGAAATATATTAACATTTTATGATATTTCTTGGATGGACTTCTTAACAAAATTTTCACAGTTATTAAATTCTTTGAGCAATTCTTTCTAAATAAATACGAAAAACCATTCAAACAACCGAAGAAACAAGCACATGAAATAGCATTTCAACGCCATCCAACTGGCACCATTCCCTTCCAAAGCTTAGTACGCACATCTTTTCGAGATATAGTTTTTGATATCTACTCCAGCAGAACCTATCATTGCCCTGTCATGCAGTAAAATTCGCTAGGCAAAAAATTTTTGTGGTTGTTGAAGAGAAAGCATGCGACATCTTCCATATTTTTTGCACTCTTCCACTGTTCTTTTCTAGTTCCAATCATTATACACTTAAATATCTAAAAATTTTTCATCAGAAAAATAAATTTAAAAGAGGATATTTCTATGCCCTCTCGAACGTGATGCTGAAAAAGACACGGTTCAGAACCACAAGCTTCATGCATCTGATCATTAGAGTGGTCTACAGACAGTTTTATTACATTGTCAGTAGTATTATTTTTGTCTTGAGAATAAATAATGCAAATGAGCAAAAGATTAGAACCCAACCGCAATCCGACTTGAAGCTGATGAGCGCAAAAGTAGATTTAAATGAAGAAAAAGAGTGTTTAAAAAATACTGATGAGAGTGTGCCCTTTTCTCTCAAAAGTCCAGTTATAGTTTTAACAGATATCATTGACAACACTCGCCTATTTAACGAGCAACCTCTGAAAATGAGACAGTGCATCGTTGCACACTACAAGATGATATTTTCTTTGCTAAAAAGGTATGGCGGGCACATGGTTGCCAACGAAGGAGATTCTTTCCACCTGGCTTTTCAGCATTTTGAAAATGCAATCAAGTTTTGTAAAGATTTATTTGCTGGCATTACAGCGAAATAGCCTTTTTCCAAGTAAGAGTGGGAGTCAACAAAGGAAAGCTCTGTGTTAGAAAGTTTTGTGGGTATAAAGTCTATGGCGAGCCGATTGAGGAGATCCAGAAATTTTTTGAACATAGCGACGGAAAGCGAATTTGCATCAAAAAAAAACTTATAGAAAAATATAATATTAAGCCGGAAGCTAATTTCTGCATGCACTAAATATTTCACAATAAATTGTTAATTAACTAGCCACTTTGCAAAATATTAAGCTTGTTAAACATACATACTTGTCTTATCCCAACACGCTCCAACCGGTTTTCCAAGCACTTTTCCGTTAAAAATTTAATAGACATTTCACTACATAACAAAGCCCAATAGGCTTTTAATATAGAATCGTTGGACGCTTAGTTTAAAGGCATAAATATGGCTGTTAATCGAACTAGGCCAAGTATATCTCATCGAATCCATAGCAGAACTGTGTGATTAAGTTTTGCTCGCTGCCATCCCATGCACGAACATTACAGACAGATAAAAGCCAAATACACACAATTGACAGCGCTCCTATTAAGAGACAATGCCGCATTTGTAAATACAAACACACAGCGAATGGGCATAGATTATCCAATATTCAAAAGAGACAAGTCGGTGATTCCATTTATTCCATCATCGCCGAAATCAAATTTCATGGCAGTAACACCTATAAACTTATTTACAAAGGAGGATCCAATCTTACGATATGTTCCAACAGTGCACACAACACAACCCTCGTCAATTACATGGTTCGAGGGCACTGTGTTTGGCTCTAAGTCTTTCGACAGGGATGACATGATCGACTTGATGTTTTTGAGGATTTTTGAAAAGCAAGGTTTCGAACAAAAGGCATTGAACTTCATACGAAGCCAATTTGGAAGAAACCGAGAAGATTTCCTCAGAATTAAAAATAGAGAAGCAAAGCTGAACATCGGCGACCTATTTTGCTCAATTTGTTTAGTTTTTGGATGTGGAATTCACAGCAGGCACAATCCCAAGATAGTAAAGCATAATGAAGTTAGCAGCTGTATTTGTTCTAGAAAACCTCGGGAATCCGTGCGGCTGCCTCGAATTCTGTTTAATGAAATTTCATCGGATCCTTTAATAAAAAAACTGGCATTAAAAACCTGTGTAGTGAGTAAAATTTTATCTCTGAGACATAACTCGATTATTCCGTGCACTTTTGTCCACCAATCAAACATTCCTCATACGAAAACCATATCGCTTTCAAACAATTGCACAGATCCAAAACAGTTTTATCAGCCGTGTAGACATACTGGCAGATGTTCTAATGGCAAGTGCTGCTGCAGCACTAGCGGAACTTTGTGCGAGTCTTTCTGTCAATGTTCTAACTGTACAAATGTAATATTTTGCGACTGTAAAAAGTGCAATGAAAATTGCGTTTGCTACCTCTCGAATCGTGAATGCACTGATTTCTGCACATGCCTAGCAAGCGGGGCAAGCTGGAATGTGAAAACATGCCAGTAGCACAACACATTACACGCAAAGCTTCAATCTGTAAGTCCTCCAAGCATGGATTAGGCCTTTTTGCCGAAGAGTTTGTTCCAGCGAACAGTTTTGTAGTGGAGTACACAGGTGAGCTAATAACCGATAAGGAGGCCGAAAGGAGGGGAAATTTCTACGAGATGAACAAGCTTTCCTATCTTTTCAATGCGGTATTTCAGCATTCTGATTGCTTATATTCTATAGACTCGTTTTTCATGGGCAATAAAAGCAGATTTATAAACCACTCGGTTTCCAATGCAAACCTTAAGTCAAAAATACTTGTTTCACATGGAAATGTCAAGATTGTATTTTACAGTCTAAGAGACATATACAAAGGCGAGGAGTTTTTATTTGACTATCAATTCACAGACACCCAAAAGAAAAAGCATGGAATTATAGACTGAGCCACAGCTTGCTTCCATCAGATATGCTAACGAAATCGTTAAAATTACCGCTTCTGCCTCTGCCAACAAAGTCTGTTTTTGATAATAAACTATGAACATTCACAAATCCTCATGTTTTGTGTTGAGTGTAGAAGAAGGAGCGTGGATTCAGAAAACAAGAAAATCATATGTACATTCTGTGGTAAAAAGATAGACAAGTACACTCAAGCAAATGACACATTCAAGCATATCGACTGTTTGCTTTTGAAAGACCAAGTGTTCCGACACTATTTAATCAACCATAAAATTACTCTGGACAGGTTTGTTTGTATTTACATTTGGCAGCTGATTCCCAACATTTTGCTGCACTTTTCGAACGTGAGTATTTCAAAAATGCAAATAGAAGAGCTCGAGGTGAATTTATATTTTGGCAACGTTCTTTTCCAGGTGACGAGCCAAGCATTCTACACTCTTCTCCTCTACACTCTGCTAGGCAGCGTTCCGTTTTTCAAATTACTTTACTCAATCCACTTTAGCTCATTTTATAATCTTTTTAAAATAGTTTTTGCAGTGTGGGAGTATAAAGAAATTCAATTTTATGCCATACTGGAAATATTGAATTGCTGCTCAAATGTCTGTGCACTCAAATGCTTTGACGAGGATCATCTTAAAATCTGCTCAACGGTACTAATTTCAAAGATCGCCTCGTATGGAATTTTAGTATACATATTTAATAGGTAGACTCCAATCACGGCTGTTGCATTAGCCAAAACCACTCTATAAGCATCTTTCTGGACTGTGGGATGTTGCTAAGGCATGAAGAACTCTTATAAGATCTCTTCCAAGTGATAGATAGCTTGTTCTTTTCCTAGACTGTATACTTGTCATTGAAATACGAAAGATCAAGCTTTATTCTGTGAATAGCATTGCCAGATGAAATGTACAGAAGGTCATTCATAAATATAAAATCTTCGGCAGCATTGACATTTGTGGACATCAGCAATGGCATGCTCTCCTCCGCTATGCTTCTTAAATCGAAAATGTAGACATCTCCATTGCTGCCCATTCCTAGAAGAATGTGTCCCAAAATGTCAAACGTTTTACAGTTGTTAAATAAATCTATGCTCCCGATAAAAATAGGATCGTTTTTGTTGAAGTTAAGGCTGCTGTCAATCTTCTCTCTGTTATTGAAAACCATGGAGATGGTGTTGTTACACAGAGAAACAATCATATTGCCATAGTACTTAATCTTGCTGATAGGACAACAATGGATATTGTTGAATGAGGTGAATGGCTCATAATTCAAGTATCTCTTTTTAAAATCATCAATTTTCCATTGCTTGATCACGCAGTCAGTTCCCGAACTAACAATCATGGAGCGGTCGAATAGTATGTCGATTGATAGAATATGGTCTTTATGCCCAAATATCCCACCGCAAACACCGATGCATTTAAGAGACCTCAGGCTCCATATTCTTATTGAGCTGTCTTCTCCACTACTAACAATATGGTTGCCAAGAATTTTAATATCACAAACTGCGCCTGTGTGTCCAGTAAGAAATGTTGCCAGCACGCCTTCTTGTATGTCTAATATTTTAATCACGCCTGTTTCACCACCCAAAACCAGAAAATACTTGTTTGGAGAGCAGAAGTTACTCATTTTATTTTCAAAGAACTCTCCACAGTAGTACTTTTCATCCTTATTTGCATCTATAAATCTGCAGAGAGTCTCCAGCTCATCGTTCATAACAATACATGTTCTGTATCCAAATGCTGCGACTATCCCCACTTCTTTTAGGCATCTTAGATGCTCCAGCTTTAGACTGTGGAATTCTTTGAACATATCTGGGTCTGGATGGAAGAAATCTTGGTATGGCTCAAAGAGAAGATGGGTTTGTTGGCGATTTTCAGCACGCCAATGGGTATTCTTAGTCTTTTTATAGAAATAGCTGTTGAAAAGAGTCGTACAATAGTTTTGTGCCAACCTATCAAATTTATAAATTTAATTTTTGTTGCCCTTACCATGCTAGGACTACTAACAGCCATTATTAAAAACATTTTACAATACATTCCATTCAATCCACTCATATACATTCTCAAATCAGAGCCAATATTGTTGGCTGTCGAGATCACCATATATTTTTTCTACGGCGCATATTTCTATGAAATTCCCGACAAACTATCGACAGAAGGCGATACTAATGTATATGTGAGCATGTCGGAACTATACAAGCTGTATGAAAAAAGCTCCGACAGAGAAAGCATTGTTGGATGTGATGAGAGCATAAGCAACACTGATGAAAGTGATGGAACAATTGATGGTGATGACAATCAATCAGACAGAACCATTGAATCTTGTGATTCAAGACACTCCACAATTAAATAGCGATATTCTCAAACCAAAACGTCTTTTTGACAGAGATCTAACATGCTTCTTAGTACATCCATTTTCTCAATAGTTTATTAGCAAAAATGCTTCACTCACTTTGTTTGATCTGCCTTTAAGCATCTTTGAATGAAGCTTGTCGTCGATCGCTATCACCAAGTCATCTCCATAGTACTTTATCATTTTATTTGCAATCAATGTTCCGAGTATGTCCTCCTCAGTAATGCACGTCTTCTGTGATAGTGCCTTTTATACTTATATCCTTACATTGGACAAGCTCTTCCAAAATTACCTCAAGCCAATATGCTCGATACGAAAGAAGCCCCAGGTCACTTAGAGGCTTTTCAGGACTTGCAATTTTCTTATCCTTCTTAGACAGCATGTATGAAAAATCAATAAGGACCTTGCCATAGCCCTTTCTTTGCTCATATGGCAGTGTCAAAATACATGCAAGATTGTATCCCTGCTCTGAACACTTTTCTTTGGAAAAATAACCGACAATTTGATATCCATATTCATCCTTGTGACATAAAACATAGAACATAAATACATCAACATCATAGTACAAGGATTTATGATCCAAAAAAAGCTTGGATAACAGTGCTAGATTTCTACAGTAGTTCTTCTGTATATAGCCATCTAATTCAAAAAAGCTCAGCTCACCTTCTTCATATATTTTTGTACCTGGGGGATGTCTTAGCTCACATCCTAAACAGTGTTCACTGAGCTGTTCCTGTGTTGAAAAGTAGTACAGACAAAATTCGCACAGATAGACAGTTCCATTTCTAATAACATCCTTTGGATATGGACTAAAATACCATGTATCAACAAGGTAGTTTCTGATACAGATTTTGTCTATGTTTTTAATCCGAAACTCATCTTCTAAATGAGATCTTGGTGTTGTGTGTTTATTTTCTGTCGGTGGTGCCTTCTCCTCAAACTTTTTTTTCTTTCTGGGGAGTTCTATCTCGGAAGGGTTGTTCAAAATTAGTTCTGAACTCTCAATCCATTTGTCATATCTCCTATTGAGTCCTATGTAGTGTATGTAAAACATGAGCCTGCCATCCTCATGTTTCTTGGATATTATTTCGCACTTTTATTTGGTTTTCTTGGCCCACGGGGCTTATTATTGGCACTTTACTTCCCACTGCTATTTCATTTGGATCCATGGTCTTAAAATTTTGTTAAGACAAAAGAGACACACCAACAAAGCTGCCAATGCCTAAACATATAAACTGCATAGCTGATAAATTTTAAGCCATATGCTATTTGTATAATACTATGCGTCCAAGTCTGTTTTAGTTAATGACAGATCAAAAATGTTTGTTTACAGGTAAAATGCACCAACACAAGCGGACGCGATCTCAACACAAAGAAAGCTTTGCAACCCGCATTGCTGCTCCATGACTAAACTTTGAAATGCAGGCATGGCAAACTAATTGCTTAAAGCAATAGTAGTGATTCAATACGAACAGGTACTGGTTCATAACGTTGCACGATGTTTCACATTCTATATTCCATCCTAGTCAATTTTTTACGTTCAAACACTGTGTTTTACTGAAATGTTTTGGCATTCCATTTTTAAAACCCAAATGACTTGCGTTGATTTCCCAACATTCACTCTAAAGACGACAAAAAACTATGTATTTGTTGCAGGAGGCGGCGGAAACAAGGATTATGGAAAACAAAACGGTGTTGTTGCGTTTAGAAAGGAGAATATTTCCAAGGAACTAGGGGATTTTGAAGATTTCTTCCAAACTGATGATTTTATACTTCATCTTCAAGTTTATACATCTTGTGAGGAAGAACAGGATGGTCAAATGGAAAGGCTGTTGATTAGAGAAAGGCCTGCTATTGCTGAAGAGTTCGACCCGAGTGATAGTGAAGATGCTTGTGCTGAAGAATTATCCACTACAAGTGAGGAGAAAGGCGCGATGGAAGATGGTAATAAAAATGACATCCAAAGCGTAAACGAAGAAGCAGAAAACGAAAATATTGTTAGCAAAAATGGCGATGACAATAAAAGTAAGACAGGTGGCGATGGTAGTGAAAACAAAAACGAAGGAGACACTAGAACCAAAAAGGAAGTACTAAGCAGTCTTCAAAAGAATCCTATTTTTGTGGCTGGGATTGGTGACAAGAACTTCTATCTTCTTCGATTTGATGGGAAGTTCAGCTTATGCTGTGTGTCAAATAATAAAATCAGGCAGGCACACTTGTCTGAACATTTGATTTTACTAAAAAATAACATTATTGCTGGATTTCACAACATCATCCACCAGAATAAGCCTACCTTAAACTTCAAAATTAAAAAATTCCATGAAGACACCGAGAATCTGGCAGAAGAATATGTTTACAAACTGTACAAGAAGAAAGATGAGGTGGTCGCACTCAACGATCACTGCACCCAGGATATTCCAGAGGATTGGTTTAAGTTTTTCATTTTTGGAAACTCGATCCACAAAGTGATCAACGAAAATGATAAGAACACTTTTGTTTTCCATAATCAGAAGTATGAAATTGAAGGCAAATTGTCTAATTTTATTGTGCAAAAGAGCCGAATAATCTTTTTTGCCAATAGGGAGAAGGAGGGACATCTATATTTTATAGACCAGTCAAGTAAAAGGTATGAGCTTCCGAAGATAACAGCCATTGCACAATTCAATGACACAACATGTGTTGCTACTGCACAGGGCGATGTCATTATTTATGTTGATGGAGTGTATTCACAGAAGCACAGTGTGGCTACAATTCCAATATCAGGCGTGGGCCTTGACGACTCTAAGATTTATTTTTGTATTCTTACAGGTGAAATAGGATGCAAGAAATACTCAACATCAACTCACTTAGTCCTCAAAACTGCATCGATTCTGGTTTTGGTTATTGCAATCATTATAGCCGTCATATTCAAATATAAAAGATAAGAGCGCCAGACTACCGTTATGAGCAAGCCTCGTTTTGTAGTAGAATGTGGTTATTAAATTGAACTGTAAAGCTAAATCTTTTATTTGTTCATGTCCAGTTATCAAAGTAAATCCTTTTGTTTTCGACAAGATTTGGGTATCTTGATTTTATCCTAAGGAATAAGTCTCTTTGCATTTTCATGTTTCCACATATAAATACATTGCAGTCGTTTTGGAACTCTGATATTGCGTCTACAAAATCATAGACATGCATTCCCATGCTAGATTTGGCCAGTGTCACATCGTCGCAGTTGACATCGTAGTAGTTAAGAAGATTATCCTGGTCAAATCTAAAACCATACACCAGTTTTAATCTCTCAACAGTGCCTGTTAACAGAAATCTTCTGTAAAATGAAATAAAGGGAGCAATGCCCGTTCCAGTGCAAAAACAAACAACGTTTTTGGAAGAAAATCCCTCAAAAAGCTTATTTTGTCTAATGCAGTATTCTATGGGTATTGAACAAGATGCATCTGTGTCAGGTCTGTCTGATAACAGTCTAAGCTTTTCTGTGTAGATTTCCATTATAAACCTTGAAACATGACCATAAACGACTTCACCGTCAATGGGCTTTGAAATGACGCCTAGAAGAATTTCTGCAGGACCTTTTTCATGAATCAAGCTGTAATATCTTGGTTTAAGAATCTCACAGTGCAGAAGAAACTCCTCAGGCGTGGGCTCACACTCAAACTCCTCTAAAATATCTAGCAAAGTACTCATTCTAAGCCCGATACTCATGTAATCTCTTGAGCCTTCAGAACTGCAAATATACTCCAGCTCATTTTTCTTTTTAGAACTTTTTGAAAGCTCCAGAAGGAACTTCTTCTTCGGAATGGTGTTAACATCCATTCTATATTTGATGAAGTCCCTCAGCATTCCATCAAAAATAAAGCCGTTTGCACCTTTTCTTTCAATTTTCAGCCTCTGATTATCGAACTTGCAGTATTTACAAATCCCATCCACAATTTGGTCAGAGTTCGGAACGAGAAGGCCTATCGAATCACACGGCATGTACTCTATGGCAGAATCCAACTGGATTTTGAATGTTTCTTTCCAGACGGTTGGGATTTTCTTGATTTCAGTTAACTGTGCTCTTTGGAAAACTGGGCATTCGCTCGAGCTGAAAATAAATGAATCGCTATTCTTTAATGTGCTTGGCTCTATTTTCAATTTTTCATTGGCATTGCAAGCCGCTCCCACCTTCAGTCTCTGAAATTGACTTGTAAAGGTGTAATTCACTTTTGGGCTCATCACAGCTCTGTATTTGGGATGCGAAAAGCTAAAATAGCAAAAACCAGTTATAAATTGAAGTGTATTAAAGCAAGCATCCAGGGCTTTCCCTGTGTATAAATTATAAAATACGTGACATATCACTTAGTCATTTTTCCAAAGTTTTGGCAAAGTTCAAGCTTTCCTTTAGAGTGCATCCACGCAAAAAAGCCAGACTGGCGACAGGAGATCGCTCTCCATTTGTATACACAGAATTAGCTACAACCCTAACACTCCCATTCTCATAAAAGGTCTTTTCAGAATTTACCAGAAAGTCGTAGTATCTTTTGTCAAAATATTCAGGCGTAATTATTTTAGCTAAGTTATAATACAAGCTACTTAGCTCGACTTTTTGTAACACTGTACCAGGCTCATAGAAATAGTACTCAAGTGGTAGGTCTATCTTTGAATGCGTAAAAATATTAAAGCCCTCTGAAACTGTATTTAAGTTGAAGCTTTGGCAATAATGGTCTGTGAAAATACAAGAACAAATGCACTTGTGTTTTTCCAAGGAAGCTTCTGGGCCTATGCCAGCATTATAGCCAAAGCTTGAGTGTGTATTTCTGGTACAGCTAATCAAGTATTTTAAAAGATAGTAAAATATGTGTTTTCTGCTGAGGAAGTGGGATATGTACAGCTGAATGTATCCCAATTTGGAGTTCAGGAGGTCTTCCACAAAAATTAAATTGCACTCACTGTTTGAAATATCCAAAACAAAACTCTCCGTTGAAAGTGTGAAGAGCCCATTTTCTTGTTCATAGTAGAACTCGACTCCAAGAAAAATACACACCTGTGTTAGCGCCTCTCTCATAGGCATCTTGCCATATTCAAGAATTTTGACTAGTGCCTGTTCTCTTAGCATGGGGGATAAGCAATGACGCACTAACAGTTTATCTGTTAAAAAATGATAGACAACTTCCGTGGCTTACCAAATCTACTCGACAAAAGATACGAAACCGTCTTTGAGGGAGATAGTATAAAATAGTACCAAATGCAAAAAACTTTAAGATAGCCACAAAACAGTATCAAGATGGTTTTTAACGTAAACTTTACTTAATTCCTAACGGTTACAATACTCTTCAGATATGCTATGATACCCACAAAGGTGGAAACACACAACAATAAAAATCCTATTATGAAATCCCAAAGAGCCAAGCCAATATTAGTATGGCTTCTAATAGAAGCAAAGACAGCCATACAGGTTATGAAAGCAATAACAATACCAGATGCAAAGTACTCATCTTTGGTTGTATTGAATACAGCATAATTAGCTGCTAGAGCGAGTAGAATTATATCAATTGCAATTATCAATAGACAAGTACTGCTTATCACATTTGCAGCTGATTCAGGAAAAAAAGCGTTATTTACAAGTAATACCAAGAGATATGCTGATTTAACAAGAGTGACTCCACATGCAGCTGTCATATAGACTCGAATCTTTCTCTCAGCTTTGGTGCTGAAAATCCTTGATTTAGAATGCAAAAATAGACAAATGATGAAGACAAGCACAACCACAGATGAGAACACAAACGGACTGAGCATAGACTTGAGAAGATAGATTATCTCAGAGCTGTTATCTGTGGGACATCTTGAACCAATACCTGGTGGAAGACAGAAAAGTTCGGGTGCTCTTATTGCCATTTTGATGGGCAAAATTTTGGTTAAAAATTTTTAAGACTGATAGGAAGGATAATCAAAAAATTGATTAAGAAACAGAAAATGACGTTTGAAAGATAACATGCACGCAGTACTATATGAAGATATAAAATGATCGACAAGTAATATTTTACAAAGCTATAAATAGCCAGTAAACAATATATCAACTTTTCACTGCTTAAGCTACATTGCAGTTTAAAGTTGCACGCTAAATCAAAATAAAACTGTACAATTGTATTAGTTTAAATAACTAGCACAAAGCTCCCAAAATTGAAGATTTTTGAATGCATATAAATTTACCATTCCACTTTCACTTTGGTCTTCTCAGCTCCTGCTCTGTCACCTTTTTAACATCATTCGGAAGTGCAACAATGATGTCCTCGCCTTTGAATACAAAGTTTTCATCAACGATTACATCGTAGAGTGCCTTGAGAGAATAATCATACAGATTGCCCGCTTTAACATCCTTCACTCTCCACTTGACCACAAATCTACCAGTACTTGTAACAATCATTGTGTCATCCTGATCAAACTTAGCAGGAATAAAAGAGACTTCGTCCTTGATCAAGCTAAGGTGCTGGGGCTTTAGCTGGAGTCTTTTAGGTGTCGGCTTGTTCTTTCCAATGGACTTAGAATAGTCAGAAGTCGCAGCGAAAACAAGAATATAGTTCTTGCATGTGCAAAGAATCATTGTGCCATCTTTACTGGAATCAATTCCAAGAATTTCATCACCAAATCCAGGAAGAAGAGACTTGGCCCGCTTGTCTATTTTGTTATAAAGTCTAAGATCGCCCTTTCTGGATGCAACTGCCACATCACCTGTCTCTGTGGCTATTCCACATGAAAATTCATTTTTAGTTTTATATGTGTTCTTCTCTGCAACCTTGTCCTTCATCCTTGGATCGATTCTAAATAGCGAGTGGTCTGTCATTCCCACCAATGTGCCTTCATTGTTGTATTTCACGCTGTCAAAATAGTCATTCATTTCTTCCTTAATGTCCCATTTTTCAACCACTTCGCCCTTGTTAAGATCTAAGACTTGGAGTTTATCCCTTTGACCCCTGTCCAAGACTAGAAGAGATTGGTTTTGGTTGTGTGTGATTATTTTTTGCGGGTCATTCAGTACCTTTTGGATGTGGGTTCTGAATTTTAAATCATTTTGCTGAGTGTCAAATACTCCCAGCGAAGATCCTCGTGTTACAAACACAAGATCGTTGCCTATGACAAGATGCTCATTGGCTTTGGTGTCCCTATTAAATTCTGTATCTTTTGGCTTCTCGTCTTCGAACTCCATCCACTCCTCCTCTTTGTCCTCAGGGATATTGGTATCCTGTTGACTTTGCACGGGATTCATAACTGCCATGTTTTCAAAATACTTGAACTGATCGCCTTCGTTGACTGATTTATAACAACATTCGGTGTATTTAGATACAAACTCAAGGAAGTTAATATGGTCCTCAAACTCAATGCAAAAGGTATGAAACATTCCTTTGTTGTAGACAGACCAGACAAAGCTGTGATTGGATTGATCCATGTAATATTGCGTGTTGGTGTTGATCTGTTCGTAGTGTTGAATAGATGCCTCGTCTTCGATTCTTAGATAATATTCAGAGTCATGCACAATCTTAGCTTCACAGGGTTGATCATACAGTTCAAATTTTCTATTTTCGGTGTTATACACATAATATACAATCCTATTTGAGTTGAAGATGGTCCTACTTGGTACTAACTGTTTAAGTATTCGAAACAGCTCTGTATTCTTTTTAGACTCAAACCAGAACTTTTTGTTATCGCAGATGAATGTGAATGATCCGTCCCTAGGCTGTATATCTGAGAGCTCAGAAATGGGCAACGCTGAAAGATTACAGCCTTTAAAAGTCAGTTTATCATTCTCAGCACAAAGCGACACATCATTGAATGCTTCGTTTTGTACTTTCAGTGTTCCTTTTTCTTCGATCTTTTTGCTTAACATTTTCTTAAGTGTACTTAGCATTAACCAGGGGGCGAGAAATAAATATACTCTTTCATATTCTGGGATAAGCTTCAATAAAGAGTCTTTTCCATGCCACTGGTAGCCATGGCGAATTTCGATCAACTAATTATTGTTTGTTGATGGACGAATAGCTGGGTGATTTAGTAGGAATATTCATATTGCACCAGCCACCTTCAGTCAATCTTTATCCATCCATTGTTTACAAAGGTTCTTTGCCCATGGATCAGTCAGAGGCTACAAGCAAAAACATTAGGACAATTCTCAATGACATATGGCAAAACTTACAATCCAAACATGAAAATCTCAAAAGGGATGCTGCAGACTTAAAAAGGAAACAGCAGGACCAGTGTAGGGACTTTTCCATTCAAAACTCAGCTCTTCTGGCCGCGTTCGAAGATTCAAACAGGGAAGCGCAGTCGCTTATAAATAGAAAGGTGATGCTAAGAAAATCCTTAGAGAAGGAGGAAGCAGACATTGGCAAGCTGGATAAGGAGAATCAGGAGTTTCAAAGACAGGCAGACGAGTTAGAGGTCCTGAATAGGAGCTTAAGAGAAAGACGACAGGATGTCGAAGAAAAGTATAAAATGCTGCTGTTGAAATCACAGCAGCTTAAAGGCAAGGCAGAGCTAAAAGAAAACGAACACAAGGAAATGAACGAGGCTTATAAGAGGTACTTGGGATTGGAAATAGTCAAAATAAAGGAGAACGTAGTGAAAATATCATACAACAATCTTGGCTCGGAGTGCTATATGGTTTTGGATTTTACAAATGAAGACTGTGTGACGGGAAGTGTACCTGAAATCAATATTGATAAACTCAACTATTTATTTAAAGAGAAGAGAAACTTTTATGAATTTGTAAAATGTGTAAGAGATCAGTTAAAACAGAGACTATAAGCACGTTAGTAAATTAGCATAACCATACGTTTTATTGTAATTACACTTAACACATTTCATTAATATATTGCCTCAGCTGGCTTCCTGTTTGCAGCCTTGCATGAGGATTCGATCAGTTTAATATATTCACCATTGCAAAGCATAGTCTCTATGGCTGCTGGATATTTCCCCCACTTTCCATCATGCCTATATGAATTGATCAAAGCCCCCTTACATGCTCATATCCAGCAAATAAATATATACTTTTGTCAGCAAGCTCATTTTTTGGATTCATAGTGTATTCTGTAGACAGACAATCATATTTACGACATCAAAAATGAAATGAGCACGTCCATTCCCACAATCGCAAAGAGAAGATAAAGATGAGTTTTCGGTGAGTTTGTGGAAATAATCGACCCCTTCAAGCTTCTACTCAAAAAGAAGAAGTGTGCAACTAGAAAATACAAGGACAATAGTTTTCCAAACATAACCAACCTAAAAAGCTTGATAAACAGGATTATTAAAAACTTGTACCCAACGAAACAGAAGAGGTCTTTTATATCAATTGAAACATCGAAGAAATAGCAAACGACCTTGTACAAAAGGCAGACTGCAAGGTGAATTATGATAGTTCTTGTAAAGGTCATTCCCAGGATTTCAGGATGAAACTTGTTGGACAGTCCCAGAAGAAAACCCTTAAAAAGAACCAAGGTTATAATAGACATCGATGGGATGTACATCTCGGGTTTGTAAAGCGAGCTGCTCAATGAATCTTCTTTGTAGTAGAAAGGAACTATGACTAGAAGGAGCTTTGAAAGAATATTGGAATCTGTAACATCAAAATACTTTCTGAATGCACCACAGTTAACTTTAGAAAGCTCTGAGTTGAGGGCAGAAGCCCCAGACTGCAGGGCCTGCTTTCCAAGAGCAAATTCCATGAATGGGGTAGGGACATCCAAAAATAAAAATAATCTAAACAGAACAAGCAAAACCCACAACCAAGTACATATTCATTCTATGTGCCGGAAGCTTCAAAGTAGGACGATTGGTGTGCATTACGTCTGAGTTTATAAAAGCCAACTACTTGCCAACCCACTATGCTAACATTTGCAATGAACATAACAGGAAAGTCAGGAAAACACTTTTGATTACCTACCTTATTGATGCCTGTATGGTAAAGATATATGCAGGTCATTAGCTATGCTACAGTGTCGTGGTATCGTCTCTGTACATGTTGTATATTCCAACAACCCTGTCCAGTGATTCACTGAGTTCCTTTTGCTCTGCAATATACTTTTGGATTTCGTTTTTATCTGAAGTTTTAGCCTTTTCAAAGCTTTTATTTGCTTTTCGTATGAAGTAGTCTTTTAGAGATGGCGAAAGAAACTTAGATGCTGTTTTTACCAAATTTGAGTGCTCTTTGCTGGCTTTCTGGAGCATCATCAGTCTGGGGTAAAAAAGCAAAGGAAGCAAAAGACGTGGAGAAGCTGATGTAGTGAAATCAGATCAATGAACTACGCCAAATAAGACTTTATTACAATAGCTCCAGCCTTTAAGATGCACAGTTTTAACAAAAGCAGTGACAATATTAAATCCATTTTTTATTTACTGATTGACTACATTCTTCAATTCATTGAAAAATAACTCAATTTCCCCATTTAAATTTACAAGCAGCCCAGCAATCTCTGCACACTCTCTTTCATGTTCTCCACTCTTCTTTACCTTTTCAAACAGCACGTCTTGGACCAGTTTGTTATTGTTTCTCACCTTTTCTAGCAACTGCTCTCTTTCTGAATTTACCGAATCATACTTCATCCTCAAGTTTGCTATCTTTGCTGAAATTTCCTCGGAAACCTTTTTGTCTCTACTTTGAAGATTAAAAATTTTGCTTTCGAGATGCGACACCTGTCTTTCAATGTGATTTATCCTAATCTTCAGGGCATTTATGCTGCTGTCCCAGTTTTTGAGCTTGCTTTCTGACATTAAAATGTTTTGTTCAAACTTCTCAATTCTTTCCTCGATTACATTTAGTTCTTTTACTATGGAATGCATCTTCACTACTTGCTCCCAGTACTTATTCTGCTTGTTTAGAACCAAGCTTTGCTCTTGGATGCTTTTTTCAATATTCCGTATAGATTCCTTTTCCTTTTCAATCAAGCTTCTCATTTCTTCAACGAGCTCTAGCAGCTTTGTTGGATCGCTCACAATTTGGGTGCGGAGACAAGTTATTTCCTGTTTTAGATTATGCTCAAGCAGCTGGCAGGAGCAGAGCTTATCTCCAATTTCAATCTTTTCAGTTTTTAAGAGACTCACTTCATTCATCTTCTCTTTTTGATACTTGTAGAACTCCTTAAGCTCACTCTCCAGATTGGATATTTCGTTTTCAAGATTTTCCTTTAATTTAGCATTCTCGGCCAACTCCGTTTGCACCTTTTCTATTGCTTCCTTTGTGGATGCAAGCTGGGATTCAAGTCTTTTCTTTACTGCAAAATTATCATCGGCTATTTTACTGGCTTGCTCGTATATCTGCTTTTTGCTGTCACGATACATACCAAAATTAATAAGTGTAGAGAGAATCTGGACAAGCCTACGCGAGTCTGGGTTGACGTCTCTAACTGTAAAGTTGCCGATTCCAATTTTGCCGAGCAAATTGCCCATTCTCTGGACTTGCTTTATCACCTGGAGAGGCTCATCTCCATCTGGCAGACCCTTGCCCTCGAAGGCCTCCAAAAGCGAATCGTAGATTGCAGACGTTACTGCAATAGATGGTTTGAGTATGTCAGCGGGTGATATATTGATGTTCAGCTCTGCAAGATATGATATTATATCTTTTGTTGATAGATCGGGGACGGAGTACATGTTTCTTTTGTTCATACTGTGGGTTGGAAACTTTGAGGATTTCGAATGAAAAGACCAAACAGTATGTTGCAAAGTGTGACACCTCCTGGATGTAGACAGATAACGCCAGAAATGTTAGATGCCATGCACATGTAGAATAGCCGTGGAGAAAAATGGATTGCAGTATAAACTATTATGCTTTTGTCACATTTGCATAAACCAAAGGCTGGAATAAAATACAGAGTTAAATTGTAAACAATAGTGCTCTTATACAAACGTCTATTTATTTTGGGATTGCTTTATAGAAGCTCAAAAATAAAATCAAAATCAAGATCAGGCCTATAAACATCTTCGAAGCGCTGGCTGTTTCTTGCCATGACCTGGTATTGGATTATATTGGTTTTTACTGCTTCTCCACATCCAGTCTTCTTAACAATCGAGATGATCTTATGAATAAGATACTGAAAGGATGCATCTTTAACCTTATATCTCTTGGCTATAAGTTCCTTCACTCTGTCATCGTGTTTGTTAAGATAAATTAGAATACAGGCAAGGATGCTCTCCTCAGGCTGGTCTATGGGAACATCAAAGCTTGAGGACTCACACAAAGACGCACAATCATTATGCATGTCAGCAGAAATATCTCTCACTTTTAAACTTACAAATTCTCCAATTGACGAACACCTTGAAACCAAAGCTTTCTCTTCTTGATGCAGTATTTTTATATTTTGAAATATGAAAAGTATAAAGAAAATGGAATACACATTCTTTTGGCCAATAGATACCTGCAATGTGTCGCGGAGATACAGCCTAAGGTCTTTTCTAGTCAGAAAAAAGACATCAAAGGATTTTTGCGAAGTTAGTACTTTCTTAAAAAGTGTGCTAAGCAGCACAAATCCACAATTCTTAACACAAAAAGATGGATTGTCGAGGCATGAAAGTCCCAGTTTTAAGTAAAATGAATGATCCTCGGAGTAATCATCAAACAGCGTAGCAAAGACATTCAGCGTATGAAAGAGTATATGTATCTTGACATCTTTCAGGACAATGTGAGAGTTTTTAACCATGCCTATCAGATCAAAAAGGCTTCGCTTAATCAGACAGTAATTTGTTGGATCCCTATTTAGCAGAGCAAAGTACTGAGACAAGCCGCCGCTCTTTCTGACAGTAGCATTTCTATGGAGAATTTCATTGACTCCTTTGCTGATATAATGCTTAATGTCCAGGCCTTCAATGCTTGCAATTTCTTTAATCAGACAAACCAGGCCCAGGTGATCTGTTTGGAGCATACAGCCCATCAGCAGATCATTTCTTTTAATATTCTTAAAGTGAATACAGCACTCCCTCAGTACATTCCACGACAGCATGCCACAGTTTTTTGTGTATTTTTCATCATCAATGCTTTTATACTTTTCATACAGGCTAAAGACTATTGACGAATATTTGTCTCTGGTGTAGTTCATAAGATTAAGGCAGCACATCAGCCCAAAAATCCTGTTGTCATCTGCAGAGACTCTATTTGCTAGCTCTGCCCATATAATTTCAGGATCAATATCCTGTAAAATGATGGATGCACCATATACTTTATAATTCTCCGATGCAGTGAGATTCTTTATGTGATGCGTGATATCGATAACAATCCACTTTCGGAATTGTGACGCTATTTTTCTAATTTCAGATGACAAATCATAGATCAAATCTATTATTAAACTGCTGTCTATCATGCCAGGGCTATATTCAAGCAGAGCTGTCAATAAGACTGTGCCAAGATGTCTTCTTTGAAAATTCTTAGCTCTGCACATTCGATATACCAGCCCGTTATACAGCATGTCAATATATGAACTGAACAATGCTGAATCATGCTTTAAAATTTCCATTTTTTCTAAAAATATCTCGCCGATCCTTTTAATGTTTACAGGATCAACAATGAACTGGTTAAAGTATAGAAACCTGTAAATACCAGGAAAATGCTCAATCCTGGTGAAATATTCTATCCGCATTGTCTCTGAGTGGTGCAGATATGAAAATTTGTTCTGGAAAATACACAGCTTTACTATTCTTTTTATATTTTGGTAGCCGAGCTCGCTGATTTCAGGTAACAGATGGGCATATTCTTCAATAAGCGGGGCTATAATAGTCTTGGTATTTTTAAATTCAACAGTGTTAATTGTTTTAAATAACTTGCGAATATATTGTGCCTTTAAGGATTCTTCCATATCTTCAAAGTGGTAGATGTATGCATCTTCATGCGTGATTTTGAGATTCCTGAATATTCTGGAAACTACTGGCTTTAGCTTTTTAACCTTTGAGTATTGCTTGCAGTATTCAATAAAAGTATCAGAAAAGTCTGTGATTTTGTTGAAGATTACCACAAGCTCGTCAAGAGTAGAATCCGGAATTAGATCAGTCAGTAACTTGTTGGCAAGTGTTTCATCTTGATCGAAGTTGTAGCAAATGAACAGGATTTTAAGCATTGTTGGAGAAAATTCAGCACAAAAGTCCATATGCTGAGACATTTGATGCTCTAATGCAGCAAAGTCTTTGAGACAGTGTATCCTACTCCACTCTTTTACTACTTCAATTATTTCTTTGTTCCTGCTCTTCACTTTTTTCATTCAGCTGAAGGATTGGAAATTTTTGGGAACAGTCTAAGCTTTCAGTTACTAGAGAACTACAACAGCTTTGATACTATTTTATAGGATACAAGAAACAAATCCATTTTTGATGCTATTTACTGATTTACCGTAGCTAATTAGACCACAAATTTAAGCTAGTATGTATCAGGAACCAAGCGAATATTCAAATGCTATTCTGCTCGGAAGGACTGATTGAATCAGCACTCACTTGCATCTAAAAGATCCACTGACAAAATTACACAGAACCCCGCAAAGAAACTTCAGGCAACTAGATATGCCTCCTAGTATTCTGGCTTGCAGTTTTCCATGATCTTTTTACAATACAATAGTAATTCATCAATTTTATGCTGCTCAAATCCCTTTGCCAGCAAGTAGTGCCTGAACTTGTCTATGTTTAGCGATCCAAAAACCACCTTATCAACTTTCTTTACGTTTTCATCCGTGTAAATTGCTTTAAGAAATAAAACTTCTGCCTCAGAAACATCCTTCAGCCTGTCAAATACTGATTTTATGCCTACTCTCTTTACTCCAATACAGTAATCAGAACCCAGAAGATAGCTCATTTTGATCAAGGAATCCTGGTCCAAACCCAACTGTTCAATAACATCTTGATATGAAAAAGACAGGATGTCTTTGTCTTTTCTAAAGAAATTTTTGTAAACTGTTACTCCATGGAGTACCATATCATTGTCTTCCGACACCACACCGTCAATTAGTCTTTTCCTAAACAAATATCCGCATTGCGCATCTGTCTCGCCAATGCATTCGATGTGTGGAAGCTCAAGTATGTCAAGAAGTTCAATAATCAGTCTTTGGACCCTTTGCAGATCATTGTTTGAAATTGACAAATCACATTCTATGCTATTAGCAGACGGACCATATTCCCTTTCAAAACTATGATGTGCATAGTCGTCATTCGAATCATCAAAATAATCAGCTGCGTCAACTGAGGACTCACAAATATCTTCCTTGGAAACATTGTCTTCAACAATGCCCTCTCTAATATATTCTTTGAGACCACAAAACTTCACGCCAATCCCTGCATCGTCGAGACTAGAAAGGTTTCGAATTTCCATCTCATCTCTGATGCAATTTTGCTCATGAACCATCCTGTGGTTTGACAAAACCGTGCTACTAGCATCATTCACAGTATTTAGGAGCGCCAGATTGAAATTGGCCTGCCTTTTCACATCACACTCGGTGCTCTTTAAAGAATGGATGGCATACTTCTCAAACACATCATCCCATCCATCGCTTTGATGCTTTTCAAACAAGCGCTCAACTTCAGAGCTCTCTGATCTTTCTTTTGAATGATTGTGTTGCTCTTCTTCCTCCTCTTTATAGTAAAATGCCTTGAAAATGTTTACTTCATCCTTCCTAAGCTCTGAATATCCAGTCCAGTCTGATTGAATGGTTTTCCTTGCATCTTTGTTAAGATTTCTGATCAGAGATGTAATTTTGTTTCTTTTTTTAACATTTTCAAGCTGTGATTCGCAAAAACTAGAAAAATCCGAATTGTCAAAAACCATGGGCAGCTTTCTTTTTGATCTAAGATCAATCAGCTTTTCTAGTTGCTGTTGCTTTGAAAGATTCCGTATACTTTCGTAGTCAAAGTTTGAAATCGAAGAGTCAACATACTGCTGGCCATTGTCTATCACAGACTCATATTTCCCATCTTCCACAATGTCATTTGTCTCGCTTGAAAGCTCACCCCAGTTATAATTGTGATGTTTTAATTTATTAATGGCTTCTTCGTCCAATTTTTTTAGCTCTGGTTCATCAAAATCATTGATATGCCTGCAAACTTTCAGCAGCTCACCACATTTACTACATCTTTTGTTAAGAACTATCTTTCTGATTAGCGATTTCAATTCATTTTGCTTTCTTTTTTCAACTGTTTCCTTTTTAGCTGCTGGTGGTTTACCATCGAATACAAATACTGGCTGTATTTTATTGTAAAGAATCTTGAATATACGCTTTGAAATAGAAAATACGACCATATTATCTGGAATGGACTTGTAATGATGCATCCATATGCTTGTGTCAACTGCTAATGTTTTGTTTTTAAATTCAGCCTTCTTTGCACACGGCTCAAGGATTTTCCATAGATTTCTCACGCCCATTAAGGGACATAATAGTTGCTATTTATACATACACGGGAATGGTGGCTTAGAATGACAGTGTTCCTTTGCCCTATGTGATGGAATAGCCAATCGCTATTTTATGTATTCTGTTTTTCCATTACCCCCGCTATGGTAAAGGCGGTCAAGGGAAGTCTGATTGAAACAGAGCCAAGTATAAAAGAAGTGATTCTGAAGCTTGGTGAAAATGAGAAGTTTGTAATTGAGGAAATAGACGATTGTAGAATTTTCATAACACAGGAAGCAGCAGCCGGAATCAAAGAAAGAGTTTCAAAAATCATGTCATTGGACAAAGAACCAAGATAGAACACAAGAAGACGTCTTTATTTTGTTAGGTAAAAGCTCAAATAAAGAACAGGATAAATATGGCAGCGCACAGCTCAAAAGAATATTAAATTTTTTAATAAATTCTATGCGTCTGGCTCATTTCATCGACATATCAGGATGAGATAATTCTGCCATAATCTTTTTCAGGGGCACTTCCTCTTCAAATCTAATATTTCTAAACTCAGAGTTTTGTCTGCACAGCTGTTCATAGTCTTCTAAAGTAATATTTGAAATATGGAAAGAGTGAGAAAAGCAGTCATAAATTCCACATTCTTTGAGAACATCGGGCATAGAGGTGGTGCCCAAAACAAACAGTTTGTTCTTGTCCTCGGCCTTTGCGAATATTTTTATGGCTTGGAGAATCGAATTTGAAAATCTCGGGCCAATTCCAACATACTCAATAAGCCCCTCAATGTCGTCAAATATCACAATGGCCTCCTCCGACTTGTACGCCTCCATGAACTTCTCCTTGATACAATTCACCTTCTCATTCTCGCTCATTCCTACCATTTGTCTTGGGCTGATTATTCGAATCAGCGGAAACTGCTCTGAAGCGCCACCCTTACAGCCAACGTGGTTTTTCCAGACCCATTATCTCCATAGAACAATAGGGAGTTGGTATTGTATAAATTTGTATTTCTAAGTGCTGAAATGTACACCTTTCCAATATTGACAGCGGCAGTAATATTATCTGTTTCATAGAAAACTCTGTTAAATGTCTCAAATTCCTCCTCATTGAATCCGAAAGCGGGCTTAATTTCGTTAAGTGCATTAAGCATATCCTCCATCGTTATTAAAATGTTCTCATCAGCTACAAGCCTGTTGCCCTCTTCACTCTTGACCTTCCTTTCTAATGCAAAGGAGCTTGCTCCTCGAACCACTGCTGCTATCTCTGCCCCAGTGTAGTTCTTAGACATTTTGGAAAGCTGTGGAAAGTCCACATTCTTGTCTAGGTAGTTGTTGCCACTCATTTGCTTTGTGTGAATCTGGAAGATCTCAAGCCTTGCCGGCTCATCGGGTAACGATATCTCAAGATGAATTTCAAATCTGCCTGGCCGCAGTAGGGCATCGTCTATCAAATCCAATCGATTGGTCATTCCTATCACTAGAATATTATCGAGTGACTCAACACCATCAATCTTGCTTAGCAGCTGGTTTACAACCTGGTCCCCAACCCCCGATGGCCCACCAGAGCCTCTTCTCTTGCAAATAGCATCTATCTCATCAAAAATTATGATGTGAAGCTGAGACTCTTCTTTCATTTTTTCCCATTCATCTTCTGCATCTTTGAATAGATTTCGTATGTTTTCTTCGCTCTGTCCAACATACTTGTTTAATATTTCAGGCCCATTGACAATCTTCGGTGGCCTCGCATTCAATAAGGATCCAAGCTTTCTGGCAATTAGCGTCTTGCCAGTTCCCGGAGGGCCATATAGCATTATTCCCTTGACATGCGGGATTCCCATTTTCTTTATAACTGAAGGTCCAAATAGTCTCTGGACAAACGCTCGCCTAAACATCTGCTCAAACTCCTTCTTCAACCCGCCTATTCCCAAATGTTCAAAACTAAAGCTGGGATCCAGCAAAAGATTTCCAGACATATTGTTGGTAATGTTAACTCTTGTTGAGGTCGATGAGACTGATATGTCCGTAGAATCAACAAGAATACCATATGGTTGTTTTGTATCGCAGATTATCTCCACAACACCAAGCACAAAGATGATATCTGGGTGTGACTCTGCGGTTAAATACAGCTTCTGGGAGGTGTTAAATGGAAAGCCTTCGTAGCTGCTCCTTATAGCATCTTTCAAAACACCAGCATCAATATCTATGTTGCACATGTTTATAGTCTCAACACTAAACTTAATTACATTGATAGAATCGATGTATTTTCTGTCTATAAAGTCAATGTCTATTTTATCTGTGCTTACTGTCTTATTTACAAACTCACGCTGAATCTTGCTTAGTGCAATATTGTGGGGTGGTATATCTGGATCTGCTTGGAAGGCATAGAGATAGGTGGTGTCAAGAAGAATAAAATCCGTATCGTTGTGGGGTATTCTTGGGTTGATGTATACTAGATTCACCTTTGACTGCACAAGTGTGGTTTTATGAATTGTCAGAGATGTAAATTCTTGGACTTTAGCCATGGGTTAGAAAACAAATAAATCATGAAATAGCCTTATCGGCATAGATTTGATGCGGTTACACGCTTTAAATTTAAAAACAACCTTTTATTAGAGTTGATATTGAAAACTGTATTTAGATATATGCATTAAAATTGGGCAGTGCAGATTTCGCTTCTGGCTTTGATTTCTACTCAGCAGCCCTGTGCAGTTTTGATAAGCCATATTTGATCTGTCTCAATCGCCTCACCAAGCATTCCATGGACTATTTTGGTGCTGAACGCCCCAAACAAACTTCTAAATCAACTTGTAAATCTGCATTTATATCCAAACGTCGTGTTTCAATGTTGCTTGTTATTGTTTTACATATTGTCAAAAACAAAAACAGCTATGAATTTATAAAAAATATTCAAAAATTCCCCATGCAAGCTGAAAATAAGACAAGAAAACTCACAAGCAAGACAGTAATCAAAAAGGATCTTCAGGCAAGAAGCAATGAGGAAATAAAAAAAAGCACAATTGCAGCCGGTGATGGATACACAGGCTCAAGCTCTTCACGGAAGGATTCAGCAAAAATCCAAAAAACTTTTTCGCATCAAGAAAATCTCAAAAGTAATGAATCAAAAAAGAAGGAGTACCAGAATCCAGGACTTGAGTCATCCAATGAGGAGGGAGAGACATCACTTCAAAGCAGCATCCAAAGTCTTAGAATATCAGCCAACCCCGAGGAGGTCATTTCAAAGGAGCTTCTAAAGTACAAAAACGTAAAGTGGAGTGATCTCAATTTATCGGTAAAGTCAATTAAGGTTCTTACCTCGCTGGGATATAATTTCCCATCACCTGTTCAGTATCAAAGCATCCCGAACATACTGGCAGGAAATGATGTGCTTGTTAGAGCCAAGAATGGCAGTGGCAAGTCCCTGTCATTTCTAATTCCCATTATAGAAAAGATTAATATTGAAAGCAATAATCTCCAAGCAATTATTGTTGCACCTACCAGGGAGCTTGCGCTACAAATAGCCAGATTCGCAAGATCGCTGTGTAAGGATTTGAACATAAAAAGCGCGCCACTCATAGGTGGGTCAAATATTAAAGACGATATTATCAGAGTATCTTCTGGAGTCCAGCTGCTTATTGGCTCGCCCGGCAGATTATACTCCATTTTGTCTAAGAAACTTTGCCAAATAGACAATAATCTGTTAGTTGTTTTTGATGAAGCCGACAAGCTTCTCGACTCCTTGTTCTTTGAAGACATATACAGCCTTCTCCAGCTGCTGCCAAAGAAAAAGCAAATGTGCTTATTTTCAGCAACGTTTCCACAGTCTGCAAAATCATTTATCAATGTCAACTTGAGCAATCCTAAATTAATCAAGGTAAATAACGAGTATGCATTGTTTAACATTGCCCAGTTTTACTGTGTTGTTGATACAGAGACTAAGTTGCCTTGTCTCAAATCACTACTGGCATGTCTTGATATCGACCAGTGTATTATTTACGTCAATTCTATCAACCATTGCCAAATTTTAGCAAAGAAAATAACTGAGATGGGGGTCAGTTGCTACTTTATTCATTCAAACCTAAGCCAGGATGAAAGAAATCAGATTTTTCACAATTTTTCAAAAAATAAAACCAAAATACTTGTAAGTTCTGACATCACAACCAGAGGAACAGACGTTCAAGGAGTGAATGTTGTTATTAATTTTGAGTTGCCGATGTCGTCGGAAAGCTACTTGCATAGAATAGGCAGAGCAGGCCGATTCGGAAAGAAAGGGTGTTGCATAAGCATCATTCACAAATCGCAGCTCCAGCTTATCCATTCCTATGCACAGTTTGTCGGTACTCCGGTGGCTCCATGCACTGGCAATGAGCTTAAAAAGTTTTGCAGAAATTAAATAAAAATATAATATATGCTAGTCTAATAAGATGGGCACATTTGTTATTTATTGATCACATACGGTTTTTATAAGCTGTGCATGAAATTAGTGGAGCATCTAAATGGGCGTATGTGATTGCCTTTGAAGATAAGGATCTATTTTGCATATATTATTGCTGCCGTTCATAAGCTTTGATTATTTAAAATTTTTAGGAAATGGTGTTGGGATTGCCTTAACTTTCCCTTTGAAGCTGACTGGCTCATGGCATAGAGTAGCAATCTATAGCCTGCCCATGTGCAGTCTCAAACCATTCACTGCTCTGCAATCTGATTGGTTTATTAGTTTCAGCTTTATTGGTCTTTAAATTTGATTTAAATTTTTTTGCAGCACCCTTTTGCATGATTGTTGGTATAAACGGTTTCGGAAGGATTGGCAAGCAGGTATACAGGATTTTAGTAAAGAATGGAGTCAACGTGGCTCTTGTGAATGATCCATTTGTTGATATCAAATACTTCTACTATCTTGCAAAGTTTGACTCTGTTTATGGAACCTTAGAAGACATTCAACAACGACAAAAGTCCGTCATAGCGCATGGAATCGAGACGTTTTTGAGCAATGAAAGCGAGCCAGAAAACATCAACTGGCCAAAGTACAATGTAAACTACGTCATTGAGTGCTCGGGCAAATTTACCACACATCTTAAGTGTAGTAAGCACAATTGCGAAAGAGTTATATTAAGCTGTCCCTCATCTGACATACCGACATTTGTTTTTGGCGTTAATCATGAACTTATAAGCAATGAAAGAGTTATCAGTGCGGCATCATGCACTACAAACTGCTTAGCACCTATTGTGAAGGTTTTGAATGATAGGTTTGGGATTGTTGAGGGCTTGGTTACGACAGTCCATTCTTTGACTGGCTCGCAAAAGACAGTCGACTCGAAAGGATCCAAGTGGCGAAGCAGCAGGGGCTGTATGAATATTATTCCGGCAACTACCGGAGCAACCATGGCCACAGAAATGGTTATTCCTGAAATTAAAGGCAGAATTACAGGGTCTGCCTACAGAGTGCCAGTATCTGATGTTTCTGTTGTAGATTTTGTGTAAAACTAAATGAAGAAACAACTTTACGGAAAATCCGGCATTTGATTGAAGAAAAGATTAATGATGACGTTATGCGAAATGTTCTTGGATTGACTGACGAGGAGGTTGTGAGTAGTGATTTTATTGGAGACTCGAGGAGCTCAATAGTTGATTTCAACGCGTCCATGCAACTGTCGCCAACATTTTTCAAGATAGTCAGCTGGTACGACAACGAATACGGATATTCCTGCAGACTGGTAGACTTACTATTTTTTTTGGCAAAAAAAGACAGAAGGATTAGCGTGATGCGATGATACAAATAAATAGGATAAATACAGACAGCTCCTCTTGTCATTAAGGATTTTAAGTTAGCTAGTGCCAATGCTTGAATTGTTTTACTACTGTAAAGCTAAAGTTTTATTAGTTGGTTAAAATTTGTGTATTTTGCTACTATACAGTAGTGTCGTGCATATCCAACTGCATTATGCTGCAGCATTAAAGGATGTCTCCAAAGTTGGTCTGCTCCGATGGTCAAGTTTAGCATTGATTGACGTGCTTGTACCATTTCTAGTTTGCTAAGCTATGGGCTTAGCACCGACATGATGCTAGCAATCTGCTGAACATCATCCTTCTCATTACAAGTCTTGTCCTTCAATTCGTTCCGTTTTCTGCCCATGGACCAATTCGCAAGCTTTTTAGAGCTAAACATCAATGAAGCATGTTCAGAAAATCATTCCAAAATCTTCAGAGAAGGTGTTTACAAGTCTTCTTTCTTATTAACTGATCCAGATTGTTTTTCTGATCCAATTTATAAATGCAGATTTCTATATATTCGAAATCTCTGTCTAAATCGGCCAGAGCCGTTTGAAATATGCGAACATCTTTCCAAGTTTGAAAGGGCCCTTATGTTCCTGTCTTTTAATAACATTTCTGATGCATTGGAAGCTCTAGACACCAATTTTGCATGCGAAGTTATAGGCGCAAAAGCCAAAACAAGAACAGGTGCTGAAATTAATACTTCTGTTCTTGAATGTAGGAATACAATATCGCAAACACGCTTAGAATATGCAGCCGATGGATATACGTACGAGGATTTTACAGTTCAGCCACTACAATGCGTAGAGTTAATTTACTGCTATATCAAAATTGTTGACATTCTTAGAAACGAAGACAATGAAACATTAAAAAAGTTTAAGCTAAAGGCATATTTGAATAGAGTTTTGATGACGGAGAATGAGCTAAATGCGTATTTTCTTAGAGCTTTTCTTGTAATGCTGGCGGAAATTAGCAATTCAACCGAAGAATTAGACAAGATCAAGAATACAAGCGTGCAGATCGATGAAGCAATGTTTGCATATCCAATAACATTCAAATTTGATGTGCTAATACAGCTAGGCCTTGCATATAAAAACAGACGCTATTTTAAGGAAGCCTATGACTGTCTTCAGCCGTATCCACTTTATATTGAGAAAATTGATTGTTTGATAGGATTAAGAAGGTCAGAAGAAGCTGCCGGAGAGATTGGTCAATTCATTACGATGATTGGCAATTCAAATGAGCGGGAAGACAGGCTTATGCTATGTGATCTCTATATCAAGCTTGCCCACTTGTACCAGGATCCTGCATATTTTGATCGGGCCTTTCAGGCGTTTAGATGTCCAAAACCGCTCCATCTTAAAGGCTTATTTTATTTCAAAAGAAAAGAGTACGATGCCGCAATTCAGGCATTTGAAAATGCGCTTTTATTGACACCACAGGATGAAAAAGTCAGGTTTTCGTATGCCTGCGGATTGATTGAAGCAGACAGAATCAGCGAAGCAATAAAGATACTTAAGGAGTTGAGAAGTGAGAATCCGACAAATGAGCAGATTGCCAAAAATTTAGGCTACTGCTATTACAAGCTGAATGACATTGATAACACCCTTCTTTCCCTAAAGCGTGTAGCATTGAGCGATGCTAACTCCATGAATCAATTTTTTATACTTTCAGTCAAAAATGAAAAAGTCGACAATATCCGCTGGGCTTTGTCTAAAATTAGTTCTGTTGACCTGCTAAAAGGCGGAGTTAACTACTTGATGGCAAATGGACTTATGAGCGAGGCCGAATTGAAGGAGATGCTTGAAACTAACCCTTACGTCGAGTCCGTCGATGTTTTTGGCACATAGCACCTGCACAATAAACCATTGGTTCTTTTTTAGTTGAGGTTGGATGCATGCTTTAATGTTTATCTGCCTACAGCAGATTTTTTCCTATACAAATCCATTCTCTTGGCTTTTATACTTCCACCCCAATGAAAGGAAAAGTGGAAAGCAACGTTCCAAAAATAAATTTAAATCATACCAAGCCAAAGATACAAGATGTCGAATTGAAACATTTTAGGACAGCTCCGAGGGAAAAACATCCATGGAGCAATGCAGAGACTGATGCATTGATGAGCGGTGTAGGTGAGTTTGGAAAGAAAAGCTGGAAGAAGATTCTGAACAAGTACGGAAATGTTTTTATAAAGGAAAGAAGAATAGTCGATTTGGTTAATAAATACAAACTTATTAAGAAAGAAACATCATACCATCATACCGAAGGCAGAGATTGGGTTCTATTGGATGAGCAAGGAAAGCCTGTTGAGAGCTGGGCAGGTGAAATATCAACAGTTAATCAAAGATTTCCATATGATGCAGCAAAGAAGTTTGCAAAGAGAAGGATTGTAAGCGGTGGTAGGAAGTTTAACATTACAGTAAGAGAAGCACAGAACATCGAAAATGCACATACATATGCTGTTGAAGCGGATTCGCCAGGGAAGATGAGAATGAAGAAGTTGGTTGAGAAGCAAAAATAAAATTAAATGAAAAAGTTGTTGGAATGGACATGCTGCCAATAGCATTCAATTAAATATTCTTGTGTTAAGTTCTTAGAGCGCTCTGCTGCACCAACTCTAATAAAGTTAGCTAGCAGTTTTAACATTAAGTAAAAATATGATTTAACAACATAGCCAAGAACTAAAGCATTAAAAAGCAAAGAATTTATAGTATTTCCTTCTGGCCATCTTCTTCGGACTCCTCTTTGTGAGCATGCTCGGAATGCTCAGACTCTGATGGCTCAGCTTTTTCTTGAACCTTCAGATATTCGCTATACTCGTCGAGATTGATCTTAGATGTTGTGCCTTCCTTTGAGATGTACTCAAGAAGCTGTGGAACGCTTCGTATGTTGGATGGAACTTTACTTGGGGTGCTGGCTCCTTTCTTTAGGAAATAAATAGTTGGCACACCAGCAATTTCGAACTGGCTAGCTGGCTCTTCATTTTCCATGATATTGTAGTTTCCTACGAGTATCGGGACATTACGCTCGGACAAAATCTTTCCAAAATCCTTCAATTCAGGCTCAAGTGCTTGGCAGAACTTGCAGGACGGAGATGTAAACGCAATCAATACATCTTTGTCGCTTGATGACAGCACTTGAGGAAGTGTTTCAGTGCTGAGAACCTTGACTGGCCTAGACTCATTGTCCTCAGGAATGTTAGATGAAAAGACGATCTTTTCGGCACTCTGGGTAATAAGGCTCTGCACACCATTCAAGAATGTCTCAGGCTTGAGTGATCTTACAATTCCCTTGCCCTCACGTGCCAGAGATAGCAGAATAGGATAGTCTGAGCTTTGCAACTTCAGCAATGGAATAAGAGCAGGCACATCCTCGGGAGTAAAGAAAATAAATTTTGCAAAGCTAGAGCATTGTTTTGCAACTTCATTGAAGTCATTCTTGTTCTCTTCAAACGATCTAGCGCTGTCAATGACATAGAATAATTTCTGGTCAAGAGATTGGAAATACCTGAAATTCTCCTGACTGATGGGAGAAAAGGCAGGTATGGATATCGAAGCAACCAATGCATCTAATTTTCCACGGAAGGGCATTTTCAGCCAATTTCTGTCGGCCGTACTGTAGGCCAAAACACCTGGGAACGGTACTCCGTACTTGTCGGCATCTTCCTTCTTAGTAAATAGGTAGAATCTTATGTGTTGAATCCTATCAACTCCCTCAAGGTTCTTGAGTGACTCAACATCATTTGCAAATATAAGAGCAAAGGTATAGGCACCTGACTTGAGATCGCTAATTTCATCGTCTGCCTTTTTGAACGAAAGTGCATTGATGACATTCTTTATTTCTTCAGATGATATTGAACGAAGACTTGAGCATGTAGACATGTACTTTTTGATGTCTTCCAGACTCGCACCATTGATAGAAAGCTCTTCTAGCTGTAAGTTATATTGGCCCTTTGGCAATTGGCTATCTACAACGTATTCTACATCTGTCTTGCGTGCAGAATTTGTGATAAGATCGTTGGCAACACCATCTTCGGGTGCCATAATCTTCACCATTCTCGCAGCTATGATTGCAAAATGGGCAAACATTTGGGGATGGGTAAAATTTTTATTTAAATGTTTGTTTGAAAAGTTTATTAGAATACGTAAAAATGAAATTCGAGCCAATAGAATTAGACTCTGATGATCCGATGATGTACAATCCCAGCATGAATGGCACATGTCTTTTATTATATACATTTGTACACTTGATGTCATCCATGTAATACTTCCCTGAAATATCCAATAAAGCAAATAAATGCTCTATTCAATCAGCATTGGCTACAACTAATCATATGTGCAAAGCATTTGTGAAATATACTTATTGGTCCAATTATTTAGATCAAATTGTTAATTTAAAATTTTAATATTTCCTGAAATTTTGTATTGTTTACAATCAAGAGCAATGAATGACAGCAGGATGACAGGCATGTATTCAAAAGTTTCCCGTGTTTTTATTAACTGTGTGCTGAACCACATTAGTTTGAAGTACGATCTAAGCACAAGATAGTCTGTTTCAAGTGTATCCATCCAAATTCTCTTGGCTACTACCCTGCACAAATGATTCTAGAAAAGACCAGAAGCTTATCAAACGATGACATTTTCCGAACAGTAGAATTAATAATAGAGGGAATCAAGGCCTACGTGGGCAGTTCGCTTTTAAAACACTCTAAAACAAAGAGCATGTCCAATAAACTTAATAATTTCATTATTTCTAGAGTGGATGAGGATGCTCAAAGTTGCATTCAAGGCTTTCTCATGTATAGAGTCGAGAGAGAATACTGCATACTCTACGAAATACACGTTGCTAAAGACAAGAGATCGTGTGGAATTGGCTCAAAGCTGATGGAGGAGCTATTCAGAGATCAGAAGGGCAAGCTGCTCATACTCTTCGTACACAAACGCAACGCAAGAGCTCAGAAGTTTTATCTTTCCAAGGGGTTTCAATTTCACGATATTCAGGCTAATGAAAGATGCTATGAAATGTTCAAACAGAACTAGACTTGATCTGAATTTCAATGGTGTTCATGTGTATTTTCAGGTTGTGCCATTCAAAGTGTTTCGTACCGATCAATTTGCTAGGTTTGGAAATTTTAAATCAATGTGATTTGTTTGTGATTTTAATAATTGTATTAATCAGACATCTCTACAATTCGATGTTGTGGAAAAAGCGTGTTTTACGATGATATTGGCAGATTAGTGACTAACTAGACAGGCTTACTTTTCAGGTATGAGTGGGTATTTTTATAGCCGGCTAAATGATTGCGGAGTATCTGGTATGAATATGTCTTCAAATGTACTGTTTATCTTGTATGTATGCAACATACAGGAAAAATGTATTTATAGCTGTATATGCAGTTAATCATTTACCTGTTTAGTTTTCAGTCCATTCTGTTTTCTTTTAAATAAATTAAAAGTGTCAACAGCACAATAAAACACACAAAATATAGGCTCAAAAAAGATGGGAATGCCCGCAGTCAATTTAATCATGTCACTTTCAATTATCAATGTTGTTAAGTTAAAATTTTTCTTGCGTTATAAATTTTAAACAAAAATTTTCCCTTGTGGTAATGATTGAAAGCAATATAATCAAGCGTTTCATTGTGAAGACATTCATGCAGAATAGTGAGTGTGGCATACAAAAGATAGCCGAGATGATTGTAAACACTCTGTTTTCACGTTTTATGCTGAACGAGAATGTTGTCGTACCTTCCAGGGAGTTGTATGGAAAGATTGTTAAGTGCACAAAACACATTTATACGGTTCAGCTTGAAGACGGTACAACTGTCGAGGTTCCGTTCCAGGAAATAAAGAGGCGCTATATATTTGACTACAATGATGTTTATTATTTCCTGGAATGTATTACAACCTCAACACCACTGGGGAGAATAGTTATTGAAAACGTGTTTGAAAAAATTTCGCAGCCAGGATTTGGAGCCATGCTGCCAATAAATCAGGGTTTTGGAAAATATACTTCAAAACCACCCATAGAATGTCTGAAAGAGAGTGCCATCCGAATATATTTCAGGGGATTGAGCTCAAAAACCCGTTAGTCAGTTATGAAAGAAGAAGTGACCATGCTTTGCCAGCCGAGCAATCCAGAGATTCAGCATCTAAGTTTGATATTAAAAAATTGAGAAAGATCGAAGTCAGCGGTTTTCAGGGACAAAACCTAAGAAAGCTGATCACTATTTACGGCTATTTTAGTAAGTTTCAGATATTTAATAATATAAGACCAGGCTCGCTTCATCATTTGCAAAGGAGATGCTGGATCAAGAGTATAATTCGCGGGTTATTATGGGTATTCATAAATTTTTAGTAGAGTGCATTGAAAAAGATGTGGGAAACTACGGTATGAGATTTATTAACGAGCTATCACAACTGGTCAAAGGACTGCCAGAATATAGATTAGACGCTACAGTCAGCCAAGCAAAAAAACGATCAAACATAGAAATGGATAATTGGAAGCTGCAGTTGAAAGCTTTTGTACAGAATTTAAGTATAGACTGCGAATCCGAAAAGGTTCTGGGATTTTTGAACTTTGCAGATTCTAACTCTCTTGAGCCTAGACTTGATTTCCTTCTTTTCTTGATCAACGTGTCCTATTTTACTGACACTCTGAAATCCATTATCCATGATTCGCAAAGCTTTTTGAAAAACCAAAAATTCAATCCTGACCTGACATCCCAGAACAAGATCAATAACGACATGGACTCTAATGGCACAGATGATAGCAATATTCAAAGGCCAACTGTGCTGGATAATCCTCTGAATACCCATATTGGAAAATACCGTGGCTATCTTTTGATACTTTTAGATTACAGCATTGTACTCAAAGACAAGGATGATTTCTACATGCTAGAGCCGAAAGATGTAAAGATTGTGCTGGACGACATTAATCCTTTTGATAAAGTTGAGAAGATCACGTATGCAAATTTAAAGACAGTTTTACATGAACTAAAGGAAATAAATAAAATCTAGAAGGGTTCCCATTAAATGCCTTTTCTTAAAAATAACGTATTGATGGAGGACAATCCCACAACCAGCAATAATCAAACCATAAAAGAAGCAAAATCCCGTATTCGAAGTACTTTGGTTTTAGTATGAGGATAAATTTCAATGAATAGAGTTGACAGATGGAGTTTATGCCAATATTTAGGAACAGCTATAAAAGCATTTTGCTTTGCACATGGCATTAAACTGGCACAAATTCATTGATGAATGTTGCAAAATAGGTTATAGTTGTTGCTTCATCATTTCCAAGTATCCTTGTATATTTTTTAACGACTCTTCATTAATATTAAATCCACCTTTTTCTGTTGCACGCCCAAAAAGCGCTATCAAGAAAATAAACGTATATTTCCACTGGTGAATTTCACATATATAAATAAAAATGCCCAGTTTTTCCTGGTTTTCGCTGTTCAAGTGAATCTTTGAAACTTTGCCTAAAAAGAATGGGATTTTCAAGTCAAATGTTTGGGACGAAAACATGGACAGAAATAGCCGTGCCATTGGCAAACTGATCATGTTGAAAATTGAAATTCTATCATCCTCAACATCATCCACAAGGCTGTAGAGCATTTCGTCGTTTTTTACTCGCATTTCTGAATATATCGAGAAGACCTTCAAGCTTCTGGATTTTATCAGGTCAAACAGCATCAATAATTTAAATATTTTGTCTGCCAAGTCAAAGATTTCCCGTTTTTTCTGAATTTTTGCCATGAATCGGCTTTTAAAGCATTCGTTAATGAATATTTGCAATACTTCCTCAGCACAGCGATAAAAATTCAGCATTTCTTTGCATATTTCAATAGACTGCTGATTTTCCAGTGGCCCATCTAATTTTTTTAATATCTGGTCAAAGCTTAATTTTAGCTCGCAGTACTTCTGCACAACATCTGGCGATAGTTGCTGCTGTCTTGTGGAAAATACAATCTCCCTGGCTTTTGATTTCAATCTGGATTTCCAAGTCATCGTGAACATATCAGGGATAATAAATAAAAATAATCAAAACAGAAAAATGTCAATTTAATAAACAACATGCAAAATGGGTATGGTGTATCTGATACACTTTACAGATATGTATGATGAGTGGCTATTTGATTGGTTGCAATTCGTTACGAAGCGCATCATGTCAGCATCCATATTGCATATCCTACTAATAAAGCTCTATCACTTCAACAGTGCTGCTGCAGTTTTGCTGTTCACTTTAGCACTCTGTGGACCCTTATGAAAGTCTTTATCTCGAACAACTACGGAGGTGAAATCTGCAAATTTGAATTTGTAAGAGAGGAAGAAGACTGCTTTGGATTCGCTGTGAAGATCAACGGATTTATAGAGACAAACAGTGTTAGAATTCAGCATTTAGCCAGCACAAGCAAGTTTGTGAAAGACGAGCTTTATTTTAAAATTCCAAGAAACATCATCCCCACATTCCAAAGCAAAAACTTTAAAGTTGAGTATAGGGCCGACTGTACAATGGTTTACAAAGATAAGAAACAAGGCTTTACTTTTCCAATAAATATATTCAACAACAATATCGAAGATTTTAATTATCGAGATCCTATATATATAGAGCTGGGAATCATAGAGGAAGACGAATTTATAAAAAATAGAGCAACGGTCTGCCGGATATTACTGGATAATATGAATATAGGCGACAATCCGCTGAACTACTTCAACTATACCTTAGAGAATAATGATACAAGCAACAGGCCGGAATCTGTCTCATTTATAGAGAGAAAGATGGAATACGGCACGCCCGTCTCTTCGCCATCGATAGACCTTGCAGACTTAGAGTCGGCAGCGGCCGATAAGCAGCTTAAAATGGCATCAGATAGTGATACAAATAGTATGCAAAACAACAATGTGGTCCTAAGCTCTGAAGAACCATCAGAGCTGTTTTCGGATGGTATAGCCATAGGCAATAAGACTAGTATTAAAAAAGATGTGAGCACCAGTAATTCACAATGGCAACAATCAGACAATAAAGATAAAAAAGAAGAAGACAGCACCATTGATAGTATTTCAGAACCTCTTCCAATACGAAACATGGACGAAGCTAAACACTTAGATTTGTTAAACAGCTTTCCTGAGCAGTTGCTTGATGAAGTTAGATCTGTAGCCGAGAATATTGTCGATGAAGCCATCAAGCAAGCACATAGACCAGATAATTCAGTATTAGAAAAGTGCGAAAAGGAAGATATGGCAAGACCAATTTCAGACGAGTTGAAACGGAGTTTAGGTCAAATTTTGTCAAAAATGTTTGAAGAAAAATGCAAAATTGAGTCAGAAATGCTAAAAACGTTGCAGAAGATCCAACAAAATACTAGAACGCCTGTATTTTCAGAAAGAAATGTTCTTCAAATACAGAATGATGAAAGCTCATACGTTGTGATGGGCGAGGATGGTAAGTTAGCATCAATCTACCATCCGAGGTTCATTCAAAGCCAAAGCTATGTGAAGATAGTCTATTTGAAGAATGTAAGGAACACGCAAGTCCAGATTTGGAGAGAAGATATGGCAGATGGAAGGCTTATAGACGCCCAGAGCATCTATTCAGTAACATTTGATTCTGATAATTGCTTGAAGAAAATTTTTGAATTTGATATTGATGGATTTACACTCAAAACCTTTGCTTTTGAGGTGTTGTATGTGCTAAAGATTGAAATGGATGGCTCGGAGATCAGGGTGCCTTTAACTGTTTTATCACCAAATACCATAACGTCAATTAGCAATTAAATCAAGCGTTTGGCAATATACCGAAATAATGGCCGAATGGTCTTAATCCTGGCCAATACAATCTTGCATGCTATCAAGGCCACAAACCCCATGTGTCTATCTTTTGACTGAGTTATAAAGTCCTTTATTCATCGTATGTATCATCATATAGTGTTTAGCATATTAAATTTTATTTGCCATTGTATTTAACATCTTCCGTAGACCATAATATATTTCATTAATTAGTACTGATGCATCTGTAAAACTCAACAATCACATTGAAAGGGCGTATTGCGGTTTTCTAAGTAGAAAGTGCACTATTTCTTCAGAAATGAGTAATTATCATTGCAAACTTGCTAAAATCTCCTTTATTTTAAAAGATATAATTGATAGGTTTGTTAGGATTCTTTTAAAATTTATATACCAATGCATTGTATTTTAGAATGAAATATCGCTCAGTTCCGTGCATCATTGCATTCGTGCCACTATTCTGTGCGATTGAAGAAACACCTCAAGAAGGGCTGGAGGCGCTGGTGAGCGAGTTTTACCGTGAATATTCAGATATACAGCTCTTAAATGCTAGAAGATTTATTCAGTATTTCAATGAAGATACATGCCAAAAAGAAGACGGCTATGTTGATTTTGAAAATAAGGTAATGCCATTGCTAAGCTGTATGGATAGCAGATTCAAGCCAACAAGGAATATCACAGCTGCAGCCTGGGATGTAGATTTGAGCGCTGTCCAGAAACAATTCCAGAGGCTCATAGACACAAATTTTTTTCACAAGGACACTCTTGCCCATGGATCTGCAGATAATCCTATGCTAAAACAGGCCGGCATTAATTCAAGAAAGAGCGGAATCTATGCTTGATGACACTTGATCTGACAATCTATTATTCTAGATTCAGCAGGACCAACAATTTCTTTGTGTTCCTCCGAGATGTTATTATTGACGATTTCAGGGTCTTGGGCGTTGATGGTGACAGCCTAGTAAGAATCGTAAGGAAAATCAATGAGGCATTTGTGTCGCTAAAAGCCGCAAGTGAGAAATTGCAAACAGTCACTGACATAAAAAATAAGAATTTGTCGTATAACATTGGGACATTAGTAGGTATTCCTAAACACCATC